ATGGCGCCCCGGGCCGTCTACAGAGATAGCTACATACCTTGATGGCCAGCTGTCCCATCCTGCCAACCTCTACGGCCCATCCGACCACCCCTGATTTTCACGGCCCGTAGCGGGGTCTATGCCGATCTTGGGCTTGGGTGAAAGACATCTAATGGGCATTTCTTGGGTGTTCCTGCGCTGACGTGCAGTGCGTTGGCGGGTATGCATGTTATGCATGTTTATCTGGGATGCAACACTTCGTTTGCAGCTATTTGCAGCTATAATACATGGAGGCAATACGCCAGCGAGATTTTATGGGACTGCACTACTTCGATCAAGTTACTCAAGGGCAGATGAAGAACCCACACGGCTGAGTGACATGGACTGAAAACACCCTAGTCTTCAGCATACTTGTAATTCAGGAGCCTTGCTGTCCGGGCCGACACTTCCGAACATCAGAGAGGATTCAAATAGTATTATAACTACGATAGAGATGAAATTGGGAACAAAGATGATATGAATAGATTGAAGAGATCCTAGCCTAGGTTAATCAATAACCACTAGGTACTCCCCCAAGGAAGTGAAGCCTTACCTCAAAGACTGCTCCTCGTGAGGCCATTTTCGCAAAAGCATCGCTCATATGCTTACTATCTTCTTCTTTTTTACTTGACTATGTTTAACACTGTTTGTTGATGGTCTGTGTGGGATTGACGTGGCGTTACTTTGGCATATGGCACGGCGGTTGTTGCTTCATAAGTGTTGGAGCAATTTTAGTACCTCTATCAATGATGAAGTGTTTCTATGGGAAATGAAGTATTTAACAAATCATCAGAGCATCGCATGCTTTCTGTGACACAGACTCCGTAAGGTAGAAGGACCGTCAGTCTTCAGAAATTATGGTGCCAGGCTAGTCGGTCAATCCTTGAACACTCAGAGCGAAAGAAAAAAAGGCAAATCTTGCCATTAAGTTCACTGTTGAATTTTCACGCTCCATATGACTTACACGATGAACGTTTATCAACAAGTCCAACGCATTGGGTTGTCACCGCGTATGGAATCTAAGGTACTGAAGAAGCTCCTTCTCATGCCCAGATATCCATGGTTCCACTAGATAGGGGGTACAGTCTGTTATACGAACAGCGTCCACCCCCCCTTTTTACTGAAAGTACGTATATATAATCCTTTTATATATATAAAAATTTGCTTAACGCTATATAAATATTTATAGTATAGTAATTAACTTGTTTTAATAACTTTAACTAATTTATTCTTATTAAGTTTTATAATCTAAAAGTATTATGACACTTTTTAAGCGTTATTATATATTTTAGTAAATAAATAACAGCTTATTTAAGTATTATCTACTATTTATTACCAGTAATATATAGAAATAATATAATATAAAATAACTAATATAAAATATTACTAAAGATCTTTTTTAATATTCTATTTTATTATGAATTAAAATTATTATATTTATCAAGAGAGCTTATTAAGTTATTATTACTAAATAAGCTATTAAAAAGCTATTAAAATGGTTATTACTATTAAAATTAAGTTTAAAATTAATAATTTAATAGCTTGTCAATCTATATTATAAAAGAGTATATATATATAGCTTTTTTATTATTATAAGAAGCTTTAAAAATATGTTTTCACTAAAAGATAATAATAATATAAAGAAAATAAAAAAAAGATTTATTGTAGAAAATCTAACTTTAAAATATCTTATTTTTATTAATATTATTATTTAAATTAGATTTAATTTTAGCTAGTTTAATTTCTTATTAAATTATTTAATTTATAAATAATATATTTACAGCTTTTTATTATAATGTTCATAATATGTTTATATTATTTCTTAATATATTTAAGAAAAAGGAAAATGTGAGTAACAATAAATTAATTTTATTATAAATCTAAATTATTTATAGTTTAATATTTAAAAATAATACTTTATTTATTTTAATCTAATCATTAAAAGTATTACATATAATAAGTTTAGCTTTATTAATATATTAGATATAAATAATAAAAACTAAGAAATAAATAGTAACATCTAATTTAAAATAGAAATAGTTTGTTTATATAATCTAAAAAAATTAATATTATTATTCTTAATATTTAACGTAAATGATAAGCGAGCCGAACAGACAAGCGAGCTGAACACCTAACCGCAACCACAGCATCTTCTTACTTCTACCACACGTCAATCCCACAATAACAATAGCATCAACACAAAAAGAAGCTTAAGTGGTCCTAGCAGTCCAAGCTATCAAAAACACACTAAGTCTCAGTATCTGAGAGGCTGCCTGGATCTACTCCGTCCCAGTTATAACGTTATACGATCGGTTGAAGGGAAGATCATCACAACGCGACACCACGCCTAACTCGCGGATATTAACTACGCTTGAAGAAGAAAAGCTTGTTGAGTATATTCTCAACCTGGATTCCTAATCGTTTCCACCTCAGATTAGTGGTGTTGAAGATATGGCTAATCGACTGCTTGCCGACTGCGACGCGCCCCCAGTTGGGAAGCGCTAGGCTTCGAACTTCATTAAGTGATAACCACAGCTCCAGATGCGCTTTTTTCGCAAGTACGACTATAAGAGGGCCTAACGCGAAGGTCCAGACGCAATAAACGCGTGGTTTCATCTTGTGGCGAACATAATCGCAAAATACAGCATTATGGACTCTGATATCTACAACTTTGATGAGACTAGGTTTATGATAGGCTAGATTGCATCTGGGATGGTTGTTATGAGTGCCGAAAGGCGTTCAAACACAAAAATGATGCAGCCTGGCAATTATGAATAGGTTACAGTTATTCAGGCTATTAGTTCGTCAGGCTACAGCGTTCCGCCATATATTATCGTTACAGGCTAATATCACCTCTCCACCTGGTATACTGAAACCGATCTACTATGCAACTGGGTTATTATAACGTCTGAAAACAGATAGACAACAAACAAAAGAGGCCTAGATTAGCTCTAGCACTTTGATCAGCATACAAAACTGCGTGCGAGTGGCAGATATCGCCTCCTCATCGTCGATAGTCATAAAAGTCACTATGCAGCTGACTTTAAGATATATTGCAAGGAAAACAACATCATTACACTTTATATGCTGGCCTATTCCTCTTATTTACTTCAGCCCTTAGATGTTAGGTGTTTTAGGCTACTGAAGAAGGCTTACAGCTGAGAAATTGAGGAAAAGATGCGACAGGGTGATACCTATATCACAAAGGAGGACTTCTTCCCTGCGTTTTACAGAGCATTAACAAAAGCAACTACAGAAAAAAACATTCAGGGAGGATTCAGAGGGGCTAGGCTTATGCCTTTAAGTGTAGAGAGTGTGCTATCTAAGCTTAATATGAAGTTACACACTCTAACGCCTCTAGGGTCTCTCTTAACAACACCTCCTGCGTGGACTTCTCAGACGCCAAACAACCTAACAGAGGCGTCTTCTCAGTCTGAACTTATTAAGAATTAAATCTCACGCTATCAAAATAGCTCACCAACTTTAATTATTGAGGCTGTTAAGCATTTATCAAAGGGGGAGTGTGGATTTATGCATAAGATTGCCTTATTGAGGTCTGAGGTCCAGATACTTCAGGAAGAGAATAACCTACTTAGCCGACGTAGGAGGACTAAGAAAACACGTCTTAGACAAGGAGGAAGTCTTACTATAGCTGAGGCAGAGGATATTCAGTCGCAGAGAGAGGCGACAACTCAGATCGAGGAGGAAATACGTTAGAGTAGTGGTCGTCAGCCAAGGACTGAGACGGGCTAACAGCGGTGTGGCGTCTGTGGGAACACCGGTCATAATGCGCAAACATATCAATTTGTTGAAGAAACGTCTAATGAAGAGGTTTATGAGTAGTTTTAATTGATTTATAGTTTTTGTGGTTATTTGATGATTATATTTATAATGTGGTTGCAGTTGGGTGTTCAGCTCGCTTATCTGTTCGGCTTGCTTATCATTTACGTTATAGGAAGCTAATTAATATCTCTAAATGAACACTACTTTTTATTTAAATATATTTATTTGTTAAAGAAGTTATTTAGCTAAATATTGTATAAATTAATATTATGTTTTCCCTTAAATAAGCTAAAAAGAGAAGTAAAATTTATTTTACCATTAAATAGTAACATAACGCTATATTAATCTCTAATAAAATAATACTTAATATATAAATACTTGAAAGAAATAATTAAATAAATATTTCATAGCTAATATATAAAAAATAGTTAATTATCAATTTAATAGTTTTATAAATATTAAATATTAAAAGAATATAAATAATTTCTCTCTATATATATATATCTATTCATAATATTATGAATATAATAATAGTTTAAAAATTAAAAAGTTTAATTAATATTATATGCTAAGCTAGAAGTATTATAAGATTAAACTTGATTATATAAAGAAATAAATAAAAGCTATTATAACTAAGTAGATTAATATTAATAATATAAAACTACTTAAAAAACTATTTAGTAAGAGTTTTAATAACTAATTTATTAAAGATTAAGATTACTTGTTAAAAGAAAGAGACGGCGTATTTGGCGCCGTTTCAGGCAGGTTCTGCCGCCAAGTTCAGCGGGACATCTGCCAGAAAACCCTCGCCGCTTTAACCCAGGCGGCAAGGCCACCAAGCGCGCCAACCCCTGTCCCGTCCCAGGCTTGTACCTCAGGGTACCGACCAAAGTACTGACCAGAGTTCCTCAGCCACACCTCCTAGAACTGCCCAAATGGCCCTGCCAGTCACTGTTCACCCAACTGACATTCCAATTCTTGCTTGGCGCGTCACTTTCCAACAGCCAAAAATAGCCACCATAATGAGTCCTGCAATGGCTTACCTTCTCGTACTACATAAACCGCGGTCGCTGCAGTCAGGGCCTCAGCTAGCGGTCATGTCAATCCATCCGCTCTCAAAGCCTGACTATTATTACTCGTTTGGCTAGTCCCTCCGCCAGCAAGCCTTCTGTTGAACTTGTGCCGTTCCTCGTTCCACAATGTCAAATCGCCGACGCACCCTAGCGGTCGCTTACGATTCCGATGCATCTTTCTCGGTTGACGATGAATACGACGACCACGACGATGTTTTCGATGCGAAGGAGCAACAAGATGGTTCGGATACCGATACAACCGATAATGAAGATCTCTACGAAGACGACGATTTTGATATAGAGGACCAGGTTCGGCTCTTCGACGGGAATGTGCATCCACCTGAGTACTGGCGGTGCAATGTGGAGGGATTTAACGAGGATTCTTACGCCTGTCAAGATTATAGCTCTGGGACGATGGTGCTTCTCGATGCTGTTGAGGAACAGTGGCGCCAGTAAGTGCCCGCAACTTCTTATACTTTATAAGCTACTTACACTCTATGTTTACAGATTCTGTAGTGTTCTTAAGCGCGACAAAGAAGACTGCTACGCGACTATCTCCCTTAGCCTCCTATATAACTTCTTTGACTGGTTCCTAAGTCAGAAGGTCGGTAAGGACGGCAGAAAGAAACGTGGAATCAAGAAGAAGAGCTCGTTAGGCACATACTGGAAGGTCTTTCGACTCGTCTTCGAGAGAGCTGTGGGCGACAAGATTGACCAGAAGCTGAACCGCAGTATGCATAGGGAAGGTCTGTCCCACCACAGCGCCAACACTCCTACTAACCGGGTCAGGTTCTGCGAGATCTCGCAAAGAAGCACGATTTGAGCGAGCAGCAGCGAGCTAATCGCTGTATGACGATCGACGATCTCAAGCAGCAGATCGAGACGACGCTGAGCATAATAAAGAAATCGTTCAAACTAGGAGAGTTACGTATCCTCGCTGTGCTCTTTCTCCTCCTGCTTGCCCCGGCTGGTTCTCGCCCAGAAGCGACTTTAAATCTGCGGTTCAAGGATATTAGGGTCGCTCTGGCGAGGGATCCAGAAGGCGGACCACATAAGCTTCTTCTTCGGTTCACTCTGGAGTTCACTAAAAGCTACCTTGGCGAGAAGGAACAGTGAGTATGGTCCTGGTCTGCTGCAACCGACCAAATATGCTGACATCTCAGGAAAACATACGCAGTTCCTGAGACTATGTTCGACCCATCCTTGCTCCTGAGCCCCCACGTCTTCCTTCTAGGCGTCCTCTTCCGATATCGAGCTTTCAATGCATCCAACCTCACCTCGCCACACCATCTTGATATCCTCGACATACATCCCAGGGAGCGGGAGCTGCCACTACCGTTAAAGGAGGACCTGAACAACACCTTCATTTTCCGTCGAGCCGTTGAGACATTAACGGGCTACCAAATTTCCCCTAAAGAACGTATATCTTCTGGCATGATGGCGGCGTGGATTAAGAGAATCGGCGAAATCCTAGGCTTTGAGTACCCTACGATAGCCTATAACTTGCGTTATAACGCAGCCAACGCGTTTGACCAAAGTGGTGCGTCTCATTCGTACTGCTGTAACTAGCTACGCTAATGTCCATCACAGTTGACGTCAGCGAAGCTCTCCGGAACCTCGCCATGGGGCATGGCAGCTCAGACCCGTTCCAGAGGCATTACCTCGGGCGGAACATCTCCGCCGACCTCTGGGGCATCCTTCGCGGATAAAGGCCGCAGCAAGCGCTCATGAAGCAGTCTTGCAGCATTGGTCACTCTATCTCTAAGCGCCGCCCTATCGATCTCACGCCAGATCAGTCTGCATCTGTCACTACGCATCCGACTATCAGGGAGCTGACGAGGGCCCTCTGAGAATTGCCACCAGGCTCCAAACAATACAAAGAAGCTAAACGAGCGATACGAAATGAAAAGCAAAGACTTAGGAGAGAGCTGAAACAGAAGATCAGAGACAAGTGGACTAACAAGCAGGCCACTGACGATATCGAGCGCCAAATCCAGGGCGTAGGGTTTGCCGAGCCTGCGACAGGAGGTGGCTGTCGACCTCAGGGCCCAGCATAAAAGCGATTGCTCGCAAAGCTCACCACCCCAATTGTGACTTCACTCGAAGGTTAATACCGACGGAGAGATGACGCTATCGACGCAGTGTCTGCATACTGTTCTGTCCAGGAAGGATGCACCGTACGCCAGTGTCACCCTCTGTCGACATCGAAGGCCGTACTTTCTGACTCACCTTGTGACCTGTCGGAGGGCAGCCTATTGTATCTTGCCACGCTATCTGTTTTTGTCACCAGTGAAAACCAGCGGCCAAGACGATGCTTTATATGTATTGGCCAGGCTATAGGTCTGCCACCAGACGATGAGGATCGGTTGGACGACCTCACCTGTGAATTCTATACCTCCAACGACCTGACCAAGCACTTCCGACGTAAGCACTTATCCAAAGTCGCAGACAGCGATAATATAGAGTGTAAAGTTTGCGACATGACGCTTGACCATAAGATGCACCTCCAGAGTCATGCCTTCAAGATTCACGGCACCGTGTCTTGAGCACTTGTCTCCGCCATTCTCCTGGGAGCGGGGGTTCTAGTGGGTGGTACTTAGCACACGACTTTGCCCGGCAGCAATATGGGGGTTTGCAGGAAGAGCCGTTTAGCTTCACGGTCTTGAGCTTGCTTTGTGAATGCAAATAGGATTCTACTTAATTTTGACTGGATGACAGCTTTATGACTTGCAATTGTGACCCTGCTCGTTAGATATGGGCTGAGCAAACAGGCCCAGTTATGACTCCAACATAGCCAGCTATAGCTATTAGTTGAAAGTACCACGGAGATTTATGGAACCTGATGTTGTAGGCTTCACGCTTGCTTCCCCATCCCCTCACCGGGGACCTTAGATGCTGAGGCAGGCAAACCGGCCGGAGACCGCTAGCGTGACTGTCACCAAACTGACCGAAGCCCTGACTAGTGCTACACTTGCTTCAGCATAAGCATCGATATAATATGGATGAGACTGGCATCGCAGAAGGCAACGTGGACTCCCACTTGGTCCTTGGATACTCGAGGAGGCGAAGGATCTACGTCAAGAAGCCTACACCACGCGTCTGGACTCCGCCACAGGCAGGGTTATCCCTCCACTCGTGATATTCAAAGGAAAACACGTCCAGCAGCAATGGTTTCCTACAGATCTTGAAGATAAGAAAGATTGGCAGTTTATGGCTACCGAAAACAGGTGGATGACGAATGCTGTTGCGCTTGTTAATAGTAACTTGACCAGGGTGGGCGCATTCCAGTGAGGGTTGGGTCATCTAGAAGAGCGGAATCCCAGCTGACTCAGCAGGCGAAACGGTGCACGGCTGCTCCACCCCTACGCCGCCGCACCGTCCTACGTCCGTAACTACTTCTATCCGCCCATCCGCCCCGACGAAATCGACCTTCTCTCACGCCCCCGCCATCTTCCTCCCCGGCCTTCTCAACGTCACCTCACTGGCACCTCACACGCCCCTCATCCTCCGGGACCGTTTCGTTATACTCGATTTCCTGCGAGGGATTGACTGGGCGTAAGGGGGCCTACGTGTTAGGCCGCCGGGCCTCCTGCGTGCCTCCATCTTTACTCTCCCCGACCCTTCCTGTTCTTTTTCCTTCTTACACGTCTTCTGGTTTTCTTAAGACACGCCTGAGTCCCTCACTCTCAGTTTCTACTACAACCTCGCCCTTTTCCCTCTCAAAAGCAACTCGTTTGCGGTCGTATTTGTAGCCTTTTCGCTTCTGCACCATTTGTGCCATGGCGGATCCAACAGGAAAGGAACAACAAGTTGTGCCTGTCGTGGAAATGGCCGGAGCTTAAACTGCTTCACGCCTAAGGCGGTGATTAGCGGCAGAACCTACAAAGCAGGTATGATGTAATCTTGCGGCAAAACTCCTTATCGACTAGTTAGTGGAAACGGACATCTGGAACCAACCTCCAGTCTCACGGACCACTCGGAATCCCTGATTACCGCACCTCGCTCCTCTTCCTCCACAAGGTTCGGCGCAGGCCGGCCGCACAACATTCGTCACAATTGTTTGCTTTTCTTGGAAATAGTCGGCCACTCACCCTACTGAGGCCATAATTGAAAATGATTTGCTTACTGTAATATGTATGTTCGTGGTTCCCTCCCGCGTAAAAACCACCATCCTCGCAATGTGATAGGCTTCCTAGCCCTCAATAAAACGCTACACCCCCAGCTGCAAATTGCCGTTGTGTTCATAACCCCGTGGACTTCCTCGCCCTTCATGTGATATACACATATGGTGTTTCCTCCCTTCACCCTTTCATCGTCGTCAACCTCACGAACATAAGTGTGTCGGTTCGCCTTGCACCTATGCCCTGCATTTTTCTAGCCTGCATCCGACGGCCGAGGCTTAATGAGTCCGCGGCGTGGCTACCAGCCGTGCCTACTGCTGCGATGTCGACGAGCTCAGGTAAATTTCCCTGGGGACGATGTGGGACTCGGGCCACGCAGGCTGGTCATTCGAGAGGATGCCTGGGGGCGGTAGTGCTAGTCCGCGGCTATAGTTCAAGTGGATGCCACCGTAGATATGGTAAGGGACGACGTTCGGGTTCTCGTCCTCTGGTGGAGGTGGGTATAGCACCCCGTGGGGGAAGTGACCGTTGATGACGCCAATCGGGACGGGAGGGGGGCCATGGGACGCCGCCGCGTGGCTACCAGAAAGGTGATTAACGGGTGTAGCAGGGTACTTTGACCAGTGCGGACAGTCCTCGAACACGCGGTCTGTCGTCAGAACCAACGTACGGCTCGTCTGTGGTATAGATACTAAGTATCAGTGACAATGTGTACGGAGAGGTTGATCATCCAAATTTACCTTCGGGTCGTCCCGGGGTAGACATCCACACCAGCCGCAGAGGGTAAGGTTCCGGATGTCAATCAGATGGTGGAAGTTGGGCTTCTTAGAAGGCTGGGGCCCACGCTGGGGAAACCAGATGTAGATCTGAAGGTTGACGGCCTTGACGAAGTCAGGCTGTTTGTCGCTGCGGAAAACGGCGTCGTATAGGCGGGCGAGGTCGGCCTGGTCAGCGAACTGCCAAACGTTCGGCAGGTGGCACTTGACGGGGTCCCTGAAGTCGAAAGTGTTGCCCACGGCTCTAAAAGGAGAGACCTTCAGACGTTGCTCCTTCTCAGTGGCGGTGGTGTCGAGGAGATCGACGAAGGTTCTGAGGGTATTGTGACCAGGATCGTTGTGGGGGAGGATGCCAGGCTTGACCAGCATAGGGCGGATAGCGCAAAGCATCATCTCCTCGGCCGGCTTCGGGTCAGCCGACAGCTTGGGACTTGCGGTAGCAGCAGACATCTTGCCCAAAGGTGGTCAGTGGTTGCTGAGGAAGGAAGCTGTACTTTTAGATGCTCCCCTAGCAGTTGAGAGCGGCCGGGAGCGGTCGGTCGGTACGTGCGAAGGAGAGAGCAGCTGGCTCGGCTGGGTAATGAAAATCGGTTGAGGGATAGAAGGAAGGAAGAGCAGGTGGTTTTTTTTCCTGTTGGCGGTGGTGTAGGAGGAAGAGAAGAGAAGGCGCTAGATGCTAAATTGCCAGCTGGAAGGAGGGGCCTTGGAAGCAGCCTGCGTTCTTGAAAGAGAAGGAGCGGCCTGGCTGGATGAGGAATGAGGAAACAGCTGCCTTCCTCTACAATAGGATGAAAGAAGGCAGTAGCAGATTGGAAAGCAGCTACATAATGAAGTGGATCAAAGGAGGAAACCTCATCAAGTGCTTGGATTCCCAGATGCTGGCTACTGTGCCCAGGACTTGCTCTGATGTGCATGCATGTGGAATTTCGAGAATTCACTACTGCTCCAGAAGGGGCGGAACAGGAATCCCAGAAGACCATCTTGAATTCTTGATCGACAAGCCTCCTCGGGATGGCGGCCAAGAACAGGTATCATGATCCGGCTCCCCACGCCTTCGCTAGTTCACGAAGAGCAAAGCTCGAGGCGAGGCAAGAACTATCTGCGCGTCGAGGCAACCTTAATATTCTGCTCAACCTGTTTATAGAATAAGGTAGCGACAATACGTCCCAATATTTCGGAGCTTTTGCTCTCAACGATATCGTGACCATCCTATAACTCAGTAGCTGGATATCAAGATAATAGACCCAGAGCCGTGGGACACAGATAACGAGGTCGTAGGTACTCTTATGTTCCTATGAGTAGAAGGAGTCATAGCTACACGATGAAGTCCACTGGCTTCTCCCTGATTTGCACTCCGTATCTTCCATGCCTCATCCTGACACTCAAACTCTCTTCCACTCCACGTAACGCTCTTTACTCGAAACTCCTCCTCCGAGAAGGCGACCAAACTCCTCCTGAGCGCCCGTCTGTCCAGGCCGCAGCTTCAATCTGAACGGCCACTTCTCGATCACAGTGGGGCTTCCCTTCATCGCGGCTCCAACCAACCGAGCACTCCGAGAGAACATAAGCTTCGCAGTGTGCCTTGGAGTGTAGTTAGCATACGCCGCAAAAACGCATAGCAAACAGCTGCAAATTGTCATCGAAGAAGTACGGAATCCAACCCTCACCAACGAAGACATTAACCGCAGTGCACCTACGTACGTTCAAGCGGTAGCAAAACTTGTCACAGCGCGGGTTAATCGTGGTAGAGTAGAAGAGCTCGGAGGCGGTGAAGCTATTGCGAGATTCTTCGATTCTGTGAAGGTAATGTTATCCAAACGTATATAATATAAACGCTAACGAAAACAGGACTTTGAATCTTGTCAACAGAGACGGCGGGGCGCCTAGATGATGAACTGATACTCAGGTTTGCATACAAGCAAAACCGCTCGCGTTGCATAACTTTCGCTAGGCTAGCACCCATAGATACTTAAGAACAACACGTAATCTCTATTGCCTACAATCTCTAGACTGGTCCGAATTCGACCATCTGCTAGACCCTAAGAATAGAGCACCGTCAGCAGCAGCAATGTCTTTTGGATACCCATCATCAACCTGCAGATGATGTCGTGTCCCCAATAGAGCCTGACGAATCCGTCCACCGTGGAGGCGACACTGGCAGCAGACAAGACAATCTATCGAGGTCAGATGGCATCGATGCATCAAGGGACGACTTCAACCGGAGTTCCCTCCAAGAGAATTCCCCACGACGATCCCCATCCATTTCACAACAACACCGGCCAGACAACGATAGTGACTCCGAAGCGTCAGCAACCACCCCCAAGGGAAAGAACATCGAGGCCACCCACTTCTGGTGGTGCTGGGACATTGCTGGTGCTGTAACTAGTAGCTGTAATCTGCATGGTTCTCATCGCCATGGCCCTCTCCAAAGCTGATGAAAATCCGCTGGACGCTTGGCCCTTGGCCATTTCTCCCAACACCATCGTCGCCGTCTTGACGACTGTTGCCAGGACGGCGCTCCTGGTGCCGCTGGGGAGCAGCATCAGCCAACTCAAGTGGAGGCACCTGTTTCTCAAGGCCCGGCCGCTCGAACATCTCCAGTTGTTCGACAGCGCAAGCCGAGGCCCGTGGGGATCGATCCTGATGATACGGCACCTTCTCCTCCAGTCGAAACTTGCCTGCGCGCTGTCTTTGGTCATCATCCTCACGCTTGCGGTCTCCCTGAGCGCGCAGCAGATCCTCGAATATCCTAGTCTGTTCCGGGAACTGCCGCACCTTGATGTTGCCATTAGCAGGGCCGACGAGTATTTCTCCAGAGGCTTCCGCCAGCTGCCTTATCAGTCATGTAAGAGGTCGAGGTGCGTCGAGCGATTGTTATGGAAGCCGGACTGACATGAATCTTTCAACAGGGCAGAAGAGGGATCTAAAGGAGGACCTGCCTGCGTTCCAAAGCCAAATTCTCCAAGCGCTTGCCGGCTCCTCATCTCAGCCGCAGTTTCGCTGCCTCACGGAAGCAAACCGCTGCGAATGGGAAGGGTTCAGTACCCTGGCCGTATGCCGGACCTTTCGCAATGTGACAGACCAGACCACCCAGAAGTGCGACGATCCGGGCTCGCCGGCGCAGATCTGCAACTACACCAATGAGATATTTCGACCACGATGCCTCTAGTCAGTTCACACAGGCGTCAGGGAGGAGAGCGCCGCCAAAGAATGAACTAGATAGGAAGCTGGCTCGCGTTGGGCAGGAGGAAGTTATTCGTCAACAAGACTGGGGTCGTTCAGGTCGCATACACCTGTCAACTACCTCCTGGCATTCCTAGGAGACAAAGATCTTCCTAACTGCTGTCAAGCCCTCCAAGTACCCGAAAAGACGAGTCAGCCAAAAAAGGACACGTCTGGTCACTACGAGATAGAAACGCCAGGGAAATGCCTGATGTGCAGTCGACACTTTTCGCGACGTTCAGACTTGACAAGACATATCGTAAAATCGCGCATTCCTGCCAGTTCATGAAACCGTTTCTATGCCCACCCTGCCATCAAGCTGGGCAAGAATATGAGGTACAAAACCAGGCGGACTGGAGCAGTCACGTCACATGGTACTATAGCGGGAAAGAATTAGCTAGAGCCAAGATTGAACAGAGCAAACAATAAGTACAGCCAGAAACGGCTAAGCTGTGGGCTGCAGGGACGGCCTGACCAACAGTTGCTGGGCTCCCATCTTCCTTCCTCTCAGTCGGAAACAGCGCTGTGGTGTCAGCTCTCACCATACGTACCATACCGCCTTGCCTCATTCTCGCGCAGGCAAACCAGTTGCAGTAAGGGTCCTGAAGCCATCATAGAGCCTGATCTTGGTCTTGGGAGTCGGACGGTAAGGCATTTCATCCATCTTATACCGACCCCGCTCCTGCCTAATTATGAGAGGCTGGCGTTCGTCATCTTTTCCACTTGGCACCGGCAACTTCGCCCAACGCGCCAATAACGACATCGCCATGCCCTGCATCAACAAGCTGTTGCTGCAGCGCTGTGGGCATAGATATATCATGGGATGCCTCAATTGGTTTTCGCGCTGCATCCAAGAGGCATAGTCAGCAAGCTCTTCGCCAATCAATCAGCAGAGCAGCCCCAAAGTACCCCGGCCCCATCTTGCTCACTCCTGCCAGCCTGATCTTGGGTCCAACATACACGCCTAGCCAACTTATTCCATCGCCTTTCTCTGCCCATCACAATCCACTTTCATTTGTTCGTTACAAGCACTCGCTCGTCTCAATTTCTCACTCGAACAAATACTGGCTATGACTGATTCCAAAGCCTACACTGTCGGTTGGATCTGCGCCCTGCCTACTGAGTTCGACGCGGCACAAGCCTTTCTCGACGAAGAACATGAGGACTATCCCCCAGTCGCCCCAAACGACAATAACAACTATGCTCTAGGCAAGATTGGGAGGCATAATGTTGTTATTGCTGTCTTGCCGGATGGGGAGTATGGTACAAATGCTGTTGGGGCTGTGTCTCGAGACATCTGCGCAGCTTTCCAAATATGCGCATTGGACACACTGCATTGCATTTAGGCAGCGATGCCTTGCATATTTTCGGACATGGCGTGTATCTACTGGCTAGGCTGCTCCGCATCTACAGCACTTGCCTATGATCATCACTGCGGTCCAGCGCAGGTCAGGGTATCATGTTACGGCACAGCCGCATGGGCGTGATGCATTTGGATGGTAGCACAAGTGGCGGGCTGCGCTTAAACGCTTGCATTCGAATTGTGGCAGATATTCGACCCTATTGGTGGTCAGCAGCGCATTAGGGCTCACAGTATAAGTACATCCACCGACGTGGACATACCTCGACTACTAATCTGACCAGAGGGAGCCTTTACCGGTCGCAAGCTTGCAGCATGCAGCGCAAGCTGGGCGGGGCTGTCGTGTATGCAGATAATCGGCGCACTTTATTGTCTCGGGCGTCCTAGAGCCTCGGGGAATTGGTGCGACAACATGTTCTTTGAACCCAGCTCAAGTAACGTCACAGTGGTCGATAAGAGTCACGCCCTGTTCAGACTAGTCCTATTCCCGGCCTCAGCTATGTAGCGCGAGGCGGACTCGACGACACCAAAAGCTGAAGGGTTGAGTGAAGACAGAGAATTGATCGGGGCTGCGCTGTCTGCATAAATATGTGTGACGGAGTCGTGGCACTTCCTGAACCTAAACTAGGGACGGCTTAGTGGGCAGGCCCTGAAATCCCCCGGCAGCAAGCCCAACCCCAATTACGTTCCTGAAACACAGCCCGAAAATACGCTCGAAGTACGTCCGAGACTACAACCGCAAAGTGCAACTGCTGTACAATTCGTGCTTTAAGTCGTTGATGTCCTAAAATATATAACTTGAACGCCAACGTGAGGTAATATGATTCTAAGCCCGCTCGCTTCATCAAATTGCTCATCTATGATACATTGGATATGAAAACTGTTAAGATGGCCCCATAAGCAGTTGACACCATCATCATCTCTAAGCTTGTCACCTTTAGCAAGGTAGACACCAGACAGGCGAATATGACAATGCAAACGCAAATAACAGCCAGTTGAACCTCTTTGCTGGGTTGATAAGACAACGTTGTTAGTGGTACTACGACGAAAACCCCAATCAAGGCCGCCATGAGAAAACGGGCAAGTATCTCAGCGATGAGTACCGTATTCTGATACACCTTCTTCTCAGCGGGGCCCTGTGCCTCAACAGACCCATTATCGGCATCCCATTCTCTCGACAGATGACGAAACCGGAAGCTGTAGAGGCAGCGTCGCACAAAGCGGTGAATTGGGTCTTGTCGTAGACGTTGCCCGAGATCTATCCTCAAAAGTCTGGTTTTGTAGATTTCGTAGGGGTTTAAGTCCGTCCGCTGACGGGCCTGTTGTCCAGTATCAATTAGAAAGGATGTCTCCATGCTCATGATACTATTGAAGGCTTGTAGTGCTTCATCTACGTTTGTATTATCAGTGGACTGAATGAAGTGTGAAGGAACGTGGAGGCTATCACAGGTGATAGGGGACGACTCACCGTACTGCTGCAGCAGGCCGCGCAGCTTCTTGACGAGCTCATTATCAATTGCTGCAAGCGGGTTAAGAAGATCTTGGTCTCTTCTGGAATGCTTCAGTCCAAGTCGGTCACATCCTGTGGGGCTGAATTCCAAGCTGAGACCGGCTTGGTAGATGATGTGGTCCAGCTCGGCTATCTCATTTTCTAGGAAACGGAGGTTGAGCAGGTGAGTGGTCTTGAAACGACGAAAGCCGTAGAGTGTTACATTATCGTCGGCCGTGCTGGTTTTCCAATGATCGCGGAAACGGTTGAGAGCTTGTGGCGCTTGTTCCATTTGTGTGTGTGAAATCAAGTATCAAGTGCACTTTTTATGACGAGAGAAAGCCAGTCTTTGTTAGGGGCGGTTGGTATAGTGATATTAACGCGTATCGTTGTATTTGTTCTGCTGATGGGGTCGCCTGGGTTTCGCGTCATGCAGCCAATGCTGACATGTATTTCATACCCTTGCGACAGAGGAGACATAAGGCTCACAAGGCATACTTTGTACTAATAAGAGCTGTACCGGTACTTATTGAAGATATCGCATTGATCGGGTGACTTCTCTTACTGACCCTCTCCTGCGGGCCTGGGTGGAGTACCTGCCATGATCTTGCTAGCTCGTATTCCCGTCACACTGCCCCGGCCGCAGGCCTCCTGCAGTAGCCCGGCGGTTATTCAAAAGATAACTGCCCACTAATAGTTTACAGTAACAGTGCACTTGCATTTAGCAGAAGGCTTTAATGTTCAGCTGTTCTGCCCTTCTCCTCATATCATACTACCGTCTGCTCGCCAGCATCTCAACTGCCACAGACATCACTACAGCGCAACCATGGCGGACCCCAAGATCTACACGGTCGGCTGGATCTGTGCCATTAAGCCCGAGATCGTCGCCGCCCGAGCCTTCCTGGACGAAGAACACAAAGAGCCCATGACATCCTTCCAGCACGACAACAACTCTTATACCCGAGGGAAGATGGCAAACCACAACGTGGTGATCGCAGCTTTGCCTAAGTGGGAGTACGGCACAACAACGGCTGCAACGGTTGCGAGAGACATGCTTCGCACATTCCCAAACATCCGAATCGGGCTGATGGTCGGCGTTGGCGGCGGGGTTCCAAGCCATGAGCATGACATACGCCTCGGAGACGTCGTGGTTGCCAGTCGTGACCGCAAGACAGGCGGGGTTTTCCAGTATGACTACGGCAGAAGGATGCAGGATCAGCCTTTCGAGACAACAGGCGCCTTGAACCAGCCACCACAGTCAATACTGACAGCTGTGGCCAGTCTAGAGAGCACTTTCGAGTTGGAGGGCCATCAACTTAACGATGCCGTGGACGGGGCCTTAAATCGGCGACCTCGGCTTCGAAAGTCCTACTGTCGTCCGCCTGCAGACCATGACCGGCTTTTCAAGTCTAGTATCACCCACTCATCTGGAAACTGTTCCAAAAAGTGCAATGCCGATCCGTCGAACTTGGTTTCTCGACCCGAAAGAGGGGAAGACGACGACAACCCTGCAATCCACTACGGATTGATCGCCTCCGCAAACCAATTGATGAAGGATGCAAAAGAAAGAGACTTGGCGGCAGAGGAGGGCGTGCTTTGTTTCGAGATGGAAGCTGCAGGCCTGATGAACCATTTTCCATGTCTGGTGGTCCGCGGCATCTGCGACTACTCAGACACCCATAAGAACCAGGACTGGCAAGGCTTCGCAGCTATGATGGCCGCTGCATACGCAAAGGATCTTTTGCATCAGATCCCACCTAACAAGGTTGAGATGGAAACAAGACTTGCAGAAATTTTGGAGTCTAGTCAGTAATACTATCCGTTTTTCCTCGATGTTTCCTGACTCGAAGCAGTTGAAGTGAAACAGACCCAGCAACTTCAGACCATTAACGAAACAAAAGGCACGGTCGAGGCGATAAAATCTGACGGCCATAATGCAAATATTAAGAATTGGCTTAAACCCCCTGATACATCCATCAACTCCAACCGCGCGAGGGAACTTCGTCACGAAGGAACTGGCGCCTGGTTCCTCAATAGCACCGCCTTCAAAGAGTGGAAACTCGGGTCGCGTCGGCATTTGTGGCTGCATGGGATACCAGGATGTGGCAAGACCATTCTTAGCACCACGGTCCTCGATGATCTGACGAAGCTGAACGATCGCATCACGCTTAATTTCTTCTTTGACTTTAGCGATACTAGAAAAACAAAGCTGGACGATATGTTACGCTCGCTTACCTTTCAACTCTACCAGCAACAGGACGAATATGCAAGAGTAGTCGACAGTCTCTTCGAAACTCACGACAAGGGTCAAAGACAGCCCGCAACGGAGACGCTGGCTGGCTCTCTTCGCGCCATGATGAAGATTTCGGCTGGTATCTTCATCGTCTTGGATGCCCTGGACGAATGCGCCGTGAGAGACAAGCTGCTTGCATGGATGGAGACCTTCTTGTCCGATCCCGATCTGTCCCGCGTTCAACTGATTGCTACCGGCCGGCCAGAAGCAGAGTTCCAGCGTGGCATTCCCGGCGTCATTGGCGAAGGAAACTGCGTCTCGCTCAGCAAGGAGCCTGTCAACGCCGATATCCGCTCCTACGTCAAGGAGAGGGTTGAGAACAGCCCAGGGTTCAGGGATTGGGCCTCGTATCCGGATGTGCTTAGGGAGATCGAGGATGAGGTCGGCAGCAAAGCAGACGGAATGTGAGTATACAACCTTTCTGTCGCCAGTGAGTGTGCTGATACCCGTCTTAGGTTTAGATGGGCCGCATGCCAGCTGGATAGCCTCCAGACGTGCCTCGATTACGAAGGAATCCAGGCCGCTCTCAAGTCTCTACCCCGCGATCTGAACGAGACATACGACCGCATCATCCAGAACATTCCATCCGAGCGCAAGAAAAAGGCTGTTCGGCTGCTGCAGTTTCTGGTGCATGCCGAGCGGCCTTTGACGCTCCAGGAGGCCGTGGATATAATAGCCGTCCGGCTTGACAATACCCCACGATACTTCGATGGCAAATACAGGCTACCTTCTCCGGCTAACATTACGAAATTTTGTCCAAGCCTAGTATCGATTATCCGAGTTTCGACTGACGCCACAGTAGTAGAAGAACTACAGCTGGCCCACTTCTCGGTTAAGGAGTATCTGTTAGAGCAGAAAGTCGAGGGGTTTCGCTATACAGAGGCTAGCATCAGCATCACGCTCACCTGCCTCACATACCTCGCCAGCATAAAAGAGTATCACAATGCAGAAATGAGGTCATGGTTCCCGTTCGCAAATTATGCAGCAGAGGTCTGGATGGACCACGCCAGACCGGCTGAAGATTCAGAAGATGTCGTTACAACAACGGTGCGCTTTTTGTGGAACGAGACGACGTTTAGGCTGTGGGCTAGCCTGTTCCAACCTGACAGGGAATGGGATAACAACCCAGGATTTCCCACAGCGGCCTGCCTTTACTTTGCATGCTTCAAGGGCCTCACAGCTAGCACTAGAAGCCTACTAGACAAGGGGGCGGATATCAATGCTGATGGCGGAGAGTATGGCAATGCTCTCCAAGCCGCTTCGTATGGAGGCTACCAGGAGATTGTGCGGATGCTCTTGGATAAGGGGGCGGAGGTCAATGCTGAGGGCGGAGAGTATGGCAACGCTCTCCAAGCCGCTTCATCCAGAGGCCACCAGGAGATTGTACGGATGCTCTTGGATAAGGGGGCGGATGTTAATTCTGAGGGCGGAGAGTATAGCAACGCTCTCCAAGCCGCTTCATCTGAAGGCTACCAGGAGATTGTGCGGATGCTCTTGGATAAGGGGGCGGAGGTTAATGCTGAGGGCGGAGAGTATGGCAACGCTCTCTATATCGCTTCAGATAGAGGCTACCAGGAGATTGTGCAGATGCTCTTGGATAAGGGGGCGTCTGTCAATGCTGAGGGCGGCATTTATGGCAACGCTCTCCAAGCCGCTTCATTTAGAGGCCACCAGGAGATTGTGCGGATGCTCTTGGATAAGGGGGCGTCTGTCAATGCTGAGGGCGGAGAGTATGGCAACGCTCTTCAAGCCGCTTCATCTGAAGGCTACCAGGAGATTGTGCGGATGCTCTTGGATAAGGGGGCGGATGTTAATGCTAAGGGCGGTTATTATGGCAACGCTCTTCAAGCCGCTTCATCCAGAGGCCACCAGGAGATTGTACGGATGCTCTTGGATAAGGGGGCGGATGTTAATGCTAAGGGCGGTTATTATGGCAACGCTCTTCAAGCCGCTTCATCCAGAGGCCACCAGGAGATTGTACGGATGCTCTTGGATAAGGGGGCGGATGTTAATGCTAAGGGCGGAGAGTATGGCAACGCTCTTCAAGCCGCTTCATATGGAGGCTACCAGGAGATTGTGCGGATACTCTTGGATAAGGGGGCGGATGTCAATGCTAAGGGCGGAGAGTATGGCAACGCTCTTCAAGCCGCTTCATCTGAAGGCTACCAGGAGATTGTACGGATGCTCTTGGATAAGGGGGCGGATGTTAATGCTAAGGGCGGCTTTTATGGCAACGCTCTTCATGCCGCTTCATCCAGAGGCCACCAGGAGATTGTGCGGATACTCTTGGATAAGGGGGCGGAGGTCAATGCTGAGGGCGGAGAGTATGGCAACGCTCTTCAAGCCGCTTCATCCAGAAGCCACCAGGAGATTGTACAGATGCTCTTGGATAAGGGGGCGGATGTTAATGCTAAGGGCGGTTATTATGGCAACGCTCTTCAAGCCGCTTCATCCAGAGGCCACCAGGAGATTGTACGGATGCTCTTGGATAAGGGGGCGGATGTTAATGCTAAGGGCGGTTATTATGGCAACGCTCTTCAAGCCGCTTCATCCAGAGGCCACCAGGAGATTGTACGGATGCTCTTGGATAAGGGGGCGGATGTTAATGCTAAGGGCGGAGAGTATGGCAACGCTCTTCAAGCCGCTTCATATGGAGGCTACCAGGAGATTGTGCGGATACTCTTGGATAAGGGGGCGGATGTCAATGCTAAGGGCGGAGAGTATGGCAACGCTCTTCAAGCCGCTTCATCTGAAGGCTACCAGGAGATTGTGCGGATGCTCTTGGATAAGGGGGCGGATGTCAATGCTGAGGGCGGAGAGTATGGCAACGCTCTCCAAGCCGCTTCATCCAGAGGCCACCAGGAGATTGTACGGATGCTCTTGGATAAGGGGGCGGATGTTAATTCTGAGGGCGGAGAGTATAGCAACGCTCTCCAAGCCGCTTCATCTGAAGGCTACCAGGAGATTGTGCGGATGCTCTTGGATAAGGGGGCGGATGTCAATGCTAAGGGCGGTTATTATGGCAACGCTCTTCAAGCCGCTTCATCTGAAGGCTACCAGGAGATTGTACGGATGCTCTTGGATAAGGGGGCGGATGTTAATGCTAAGGGCGGAGAGTATGGCAACGCTCTTCAAGCCGCTTCATCCAGAAGCCACCAGGAGATTGTACAGATGCTCTTGGATAAGGGGGCGGATGTTAATGCTAAGGGCGGTTATTATGGCAACGCTCTTCAAGCCGCTTCATCCAGAGGCCACCAGGAGATTGTACGGATGCTCTTGGATAAGGGGGCGGATGTTAATGCTAAGGGCGGTTATTATGGCAACGCTCTTCAAGCCGCTTCATCCAGAGGCCACCAGGAGATTGTGCGGATGCTCTTGGATAAGGGGGCGGATGTCAATGCTAAGGGCGGAGAGTATGGCAACGCTCTTCAAGCCGCTTCATCTGAAGGCTACCAGGAGATTGTGCAGATGCTCTTGGATAAGGGGGCGTCTGTCAATACTAAGGGCGGCTTTTATGGCAACGCTCTTCATGTCGCTTCATCCAGAGGCCACCAGGAGGTTGTGCGGATACTCTTGGATAAGGGGGCGGAGGTCAATGCTGAGGGCGGAGAGTATGGCAACGCTCTTCAAGCCGCTTCATCCAGAAGCCACCAGGAGATTGTACAGATGCTCTTGGATAAGGGGGCGGATGTTAATGCTAAGGGCGGTTATTATGGCAACGCTCTTCAAGCCGCTTCATCCAGAGGCCACCAGGAGATTGTACGGATGCTCTTGGATAAGGGGGCGGATGTTAATGCTAAGGGCGGTTATTATGGCAACGCTCTTCAAGCCGCTTCATCCAGAGGCCACCAGGAGATTGTACGGATGCTCTTGGATAAGGGGGCGGATGTTAATGCTAAGGGCGGAGAGTATGGCAACGCTCTTCAAGCCGCTTCATATGGAGGCTACCAGGAGATTGTGCGGATACTCTTGGATAAGGGGGCGGATGTCAATGCTAAGGGCGGAGAGTATGGCAACGCTCTTCAAGCCGCTTCATCTGAAGGCTACCAGGAGATTGTGCGGATGCTCTTGGATAAGGGGGCGGATGTCAATGCTGAGGGCGGAGAGTATGGCAACGCTCTCCAAGCCGCTTCATTTAGAGGCCACCAGGAGATTGTGCAGATGCTCTTGGATAAGGGGGCGGATGTCAATTCTCTCTAGGCGGTATCCCTCGCGGCTATATTAGGAAAACCTACGTTTTATGTCAAAAGAACCTCTCATTGGAAGATACTAGGATTGCCTGGAGCAATGTGATAGACCGTGGCGCTAAGTCTATGAACTCACTCCTTCTCCTTGCCCGCCGTCCACAAGGGCGGCAGTTTCACTCCTTCGGGGACCGAAGCCAAGGGCTCCTTCCTCGTCATGCTTGTCCAATTATACGTTGTTGAAGTAGCCGGCCATCTTAAGCTAGCTGTGATTGCGCACAACGTTGTTACGAACAGGTCAGGGCAACCAACTGTGACACAAAGCAAAAGCTTCGGTAATGACGAATCCGTCGTCATTATCCCCTGTTCTACATTATATAGCTACGCCGGCTCAACACCTTGGGCCGTAACAAACGTGAAGTTGGAATTCCCGGCTGTGAGGTTTGGAGGTCCTGCAGCTTGATTGACAATATGGCCACCTAAAATATCCCCGTATTTCTTACGAACGAACACCTGAAGCCAAGAATGGACAGTGATAAGACTATGTCTGAGGGCAATAAGATGGCGATTGTTAAATAATTACAAGTTGTCAATATCCATCACGTCCAACTCTGGATACTGCTCTAACTCTGCCTTGATCTGCAGGTTTGCGCCGCTGTTTCGTAGCAGGCTAACAGCATCTATGTTACCGCAAAGCACAGAAACTACCAGAGCAGTATTGCCGTAGTTGTTGACTCTATTTAGGGGATTCTCCCCATTCCCGAAGTCCTCGTGTTTGTGTATCAAGGCCAACAAGTATCTCAAGATGTCGGTCGATTCTGTTTCCAGTCTCATTTGATGGCCTTGCGGCCCGTTCCCAGCAACCCGCTGGACCTCCGGACTCAACCAATGCACAGGGCCTGCCAGAAAATGCAGTGCCGTGTCGCCAAGAGCATCGCGCCGCAGAGGGTCGACACCGCACAGCAGGAGAAGGCACACGATATCTAACTTATTTCCGTGAAACCGTTCAGCCGAGGTCTTACTCGAGTAAATACTAGCTATAACTGATTCCAAAGCCTACACCATTAGTTAGATCTGCGCCCTGCCCACCAAGTTCGACGCAGCACAAGCCTTCCTCGACGAAGAACATAAGGACTATCCCCCAGTTGCCCTAAACGACAATAACAACTATACTCTAGGCAAGATTAGGAGGCGTATTATCGTTGTTGCTGTCTTACTGGATAGGGAGTATAGTATAAATGCTGCTGGGGCTGTGGCTCGAGATATGCTGCACAGCTTTCCAAATAAGCAGAGTTGGACTCATGGTCAGCATCAGCAGAGGGGCGCCCAGCTCAAAACATGATATGCAACTTGGCGATATTATAGTCAGCAGCTGCAACAGAGGCAAAGGTAGCGTCTTCCAGTATAAATTTAGCAAGGCAGTGCAAGACCAGGATATTTCCTTCCAGCACACAGACTTGTTAGACCAACCACCCATGCTGCTACAAACAGCTGTTAGCGCGCTCAAGAGTCGATACAAGAGGAAAGGCCATCAGCTGAATAACGCGATTAACAAGGCCTTAGAACAGTAGCCTCAACTGAACTGAGAGTATTCACAGCCTCCTTCAGCAAGCAACAGACTCTACCAATCGGAAATCACCCATCTGCAAACATCAGAAGGATGCACCTAAGTATGCAGCAATAATCCAACCCATATAATACTCCAAGCCGAACAAGGTGAACACACCAACAACCCTGCAATTCACTATAGCTTGATTGCTAGCGCGAATCAGCTCATGAAGAACGCTATAATCCAGGACAAATTGGCTGCTGAATATAGCGTTGCCTGCTTTGAGATGGAGGCCGCTGGCCTAATGAATCACTTTCCATGTCTCGTCATCTGGGGAATCTGCGACTATTCCGCCTCGCATAAGAACAAGGCGTGGCAAGGCTTTGCGGCCATGATGGCTGCAGCGTATATAAGGGATATTTTGCATCAAACTCCACCAAACAGTGCAGAAGCTGAGAAATAAATTCGCGAAGTACTTGGTTCCAGTTAGTATTATACACTCAGTTCACCTGGTACCGTCTAATTATGAATAGTTTACAAAGATGTGCAGCAATTGAATCAGACAACAGATGAAACAAAAACGGGAGTCATGGCCATACAGTCCCACCAAACAGAACAAACGTACGAGCAACCCGCACACCTGCCTACAGCAGCGCCTGTCAACTGATCAAGGTCGGCTCGGTGCTCCTCGACTCCTCGAAACCCTCAATGCCTCCCAAAGCTCAGCAGAAGCGACGACTCCTGGAGGAGACGACAGAGCCCCTGGCTGGAAAGATCGTATTTGTTCCACCGAAGAACCGAATAACCGCTCGCCTGAAGCCCGACCTGGAGAGGACAGGGTACAACCATCCAGGGGTGATCATATCCTCGCGGCCCGATGGTGTTGGCCGTGTGAAGATAGCCATGGTTGATGACGACCCTTGCCCTTCTGACCGTCCACTGAATAATGTCTTGCTGACCATTTCTACAGTTGACGTCTTTTAAGGACACACCCGTCGCCTACGTTCTCGACCGCGAGGAGGACTACGCCCATTACCTGCCCATCGACGACTCCCTCCACCCCATATCGTCCATACGGCGTCTCAAGAGGCGGCCCGAAAGCCCCTCGTTGCGGAAGAAGTCGTACGTGTACATCGGAGAAAAGCATACCATCCCCTACAAGGCACTCGAGCCATTCGACCGGTCATCTCGATACTCAGCGGGCCCGTGGCTCTGCCAAAAGTCAGTCCGAATACTACAGTCACACTTTGGCGAACCACTCGACGACGAGGACGAAGACGACGACATCAGCTGCACCGACACTAGCGATGGTGAATGCGATCTCGGTGAAGGAGATCCTGGTGAGGTGCAGTTTGACGGACGGCACATTGATGTTGAACTGGAGTCAGTCTCCATCGGGCAAAACCCTTTATCCTTGCAGCTTACTCTTGTTGCTGGGCCCTCCGCAGCCTCAATATTGGGGTCTGAAGGCTCATCTTCCAACCCGCCTACGCCTACAGAATCACCATCAAACTCACGGCTCTCCTCTTCATCGTTATCGTTCGCCGAGTTTCCGCCGTACTGCGACGAATACCCCACCCTTCATCAGCCCCAGCATGCTGTGTCGCCTTCGCTTCCGACAGTACAGGTTGACTATGCCACCAAACAGAATCAAACTACGCAAAAGGGACTGGTCACAAATCCTTACCTATTATTGATCATCATAACAATAATCGCATTTGGCCCTCCACTTGTCGGGGATGGCTCCGGCGAGTAAGATCTTGTTCACCGCAGGCGACCGCGTGTTCTGAGGATGAATACTGGAAGGACGAAGATGAAGGATGACGATCAAACGACCCGCACGTCAACATGACCGTGAATAAGAGGCCTGAAGGCTTCAAAGATCACAAATTTGCCCAAAGACTGATGGCTAAAAGAGCGCAACCTCGTCTGGAAGCAACGTCAGGCCATTGCCAGTAACGAACTGATTGGGTTTAGAGATACTGATATGGGGAATTGGGGTTTTATAAGATGCGCAGAGTATTGTAGGATAATTAGCCTAGAGGAAAGAACGGTTAATCTGGTTGCTTTCACCATCTTAGTTCCGTTGGCCCGAAAGCGCCGGCTGTCATCACTATGATTAGCTGAGGCAGAATATCGCGCTACTGAGACAAAAAGCCTTTGGCCTCAACCAGTGTACAACGGATGATATGCGACCCTTCTGAAAGAGAACGACTCAAACCTCTCATTACTTCTCCGCAGACGTCAAACTCCTACAAGCCACATGAAAAACGCCCAACTTAACAACCCCCTTCATCCCCCTCAACAGCCCAATATTGTCCTTAAAAGCCTCCGTCTCCCTGAACTTCAAATGCGCCTCAACACTCGGCCACCCAATAAATGCCACCAACAAGTTCCCCGTCTTGCCATCCTCGCCCGTGATGGGTACATCGTTCTCCTTGCTCCATCCATACGCAATACCCTTAAAGTCAGGCGACGTATCAAGCGCTTTCACCCGAAACTGCTCAAGCTGCTTACTCAGATCCTCCTTGGCAGCCTCTTCCAGGTCCGGGGGGAAGAACAGCGTCAACACCTCAGTAACGGGCGCCTCAGCGAGGATAGTTGGCGGCCAGGGCTTGGTCACGATGTGCTTGATATAGCCATCCGTCCAGTCAAGATAAGATGACATGCTCTTGGCGACGACGTCGTGTTCCCTGTGAACGCATCAGTATACCATCTCAAAAACACAAGCGGGTGATTCACGGCGTTGTGCGGTACGCAAGATGCTCCTCGACGCTATCCCAGTCTAAAAACAGCCACTGCTGGTGCGACTTCTCGACCGCGTGGCCCCAGTAGATCCGCCCGGCGCCGGGCTGGGCGGCGGCGGTCTCGAGCATGTGCTTGATGTCCTTGCGCTCCGGGGTGTCGGGGTCCGGGAAGGGGGCGCCGGATTTGGAGGCGAAGTAGGAGAATTCGGTGAAGCCCATTATGGCTGTGATCTGATTCGTTTTTATGATATTGTTTTACATTCATTAATAGGATCTTTCTGCAGGTTCCGTGATCTTATGTCATCGCCATCGTCGGTTTGAAGTGGGCTCACTACAGCCATCCCCAATCGATATTGCGCGAGAGCCTAAGCCAATCGGCGTGTGGGGTCAGATACGATATCTGTCACGGTCTATGGACCGATATGAAGCTTCGGCTAGACCCTCAGCTATGGAATACTTTGGAAGGTTACAGAATATCGTGGAAGGTTATGAGAACCTTGTCGGCCCTTACTCAATGGAAGCTTCTGGAAGAAGACTCACATGTATTTAAAGATGAGAAGGGCACCACTCTTTCCCAGAATGATTCTTCTTTCCTCCAGCTTGGAATGCTCGTAGTAGTAGGCTAGACCAATGGCACCGACCTTGTCCTAGACCCTTACTGTACAAAGCGCAGTGTCTTTAGCAGGAACAGTTTCGCGTGATGTCAACAAGTTTTATCTTCAGTCGGCGCTGGCCTGGATTTGGGCATTCTTCTGGCTGGTCTTCGCCTCTGTGAGAAGGCCAGCCACCTCAAACGTTACGAGGACAATCCCACCATTAGAAGATGCAGGCTGTCAAGAGGTCGGCCAGACGAGAGCCTGCGAGCATTGCGATTCTGGGAAAGAAATAGGGCGATGACAGCGACGATCCACCGATCCCGTGGTTCACTATGGCGTCATTGCTTCCGGCGACTCGGTTGTGAAAGACGGCGTGTCTCGGGACGAGATTATACGACGACTTGGGGACGAGTGCATCTGCTTTGAGATGGAGGCAGCTGGTCTGATGGATAATTTCCCCTGCCTCGTGATCAGAGGAATCTGCGACTATGCAGACACCCACAAAAATGATCGCTGGCAGAACTATTCCGCAGCAACAGCCGCCGCTTTGGCAAAAGAACTACTGGAAGTTATCGACAGCAATGATGTAGAAGGAGCCTCCAGAGTCGATGAAATCATGGAGAAGTGTTAGTATTTCATAATCACATTTAAAGCTTCATTACTTATATTTCTTTCAGTATGTGAGGATGTTTCCCAGCTCCGATCAACCACAAAAGACATGCAACAGGACCTACATTTCCAGGAAGTCATGAAGTGGCTGTCCCCGCCGGATCCATCAACAAATGATAATAAGGCCTTGCAACAACGCCACAAAGGCACAGGACAATGGTTCCTCGACAGCTAAGAATACTCAAATTGGAAAACAACGCAAAAGTCCTCGCTGTGGCTTCACGGTATCCCCGGCTGTGGAAAGACAATCTTGAGTTCCATCGTCGTCAAGGACCTCCGTAGCACTGAGCCTTATGCCAGAAGCCTTCTCTTCTTTTACTTCGACTTCACCGACACTAGCAAGCAGTCGCTTGAAAAGGCAATTCGGTCACTGATCGCTCAGCTGTACTGCAACAGCCAGAATGTTCAAGCGCCTTTGAACTCACTGTACTCCTCTTGCAAAAGTCCTTTACGACAGCCGAATATCAACGAGCTGAGAAAAGCCTTTGAAGACATGATTCAACAGATCGGCGAAGTATGGGTCGTCCTGGATGCACTCGACGAATGCCAGACGAGAGCAGGTCCAAGGAACGAAGGATTGCTACATTGGATTGAAAGCATTTTACACTCACCACAATTAAACATCCACCTTCTTGTCACAAGTCGCCCTGAACACAATATTAAGTCAGCATTAGAAAGATTTGTTGACAATCAGATATTTCTCCAGAGCAACCTTGTTATAGAAGATATACGTGCGTATGTTCATGGAACAGTGAGAAACTACGAAGGGTTTAAACGGTGGCGATCAGATGAAGAAATTCAAAACGAGATCGAAAGCCATCTGATGGAGAAAGCTAACGGAATGTGAGATACGACCAATACCCTTGGCTTCTATTGCTAAATCAGATAGGTTTCGCTGGGTTTCATGCCAACTCGAAGCTCTCGAAAAGTGTCCCGATCCCCTCAGTCTTCGCCAAACACTGCAATCGCTACCAAGAACGCTGGACGAGACGTACGCGCGGGTCCTGAGCAGAATCCCGCCCGAATTCGAGCAGAATGTGATACGAATATTACAGTTTCTTGCCTTTTCCGAACGTCCACTACGGGTTGAAGAGGCTGTCGACGTAATTGCTGTGGTCGCCAAAAATAAGCCCCGATTTGACGCCAAAAACAGAATGCCACAAGCAGACGAAATCTCCATCTACTGCTCGAGTCTAGTAGCTGTTGTTACTCAAGGTGGAGACGAAAATAATAGAGTGAAGGAGCTTCAGCTCACGCATTTCTCGGTGAAAGAATACCTTATATCCGACCGACTACAGCAGAATATCTCCACAACGTTTATGGAGGCACAGGCTACAGCCTCTATTACAGAGGTTTGCCTTGCGTATCTATTGGAGCTGGACCACAGCCTTTCTGTACAAAGCGTCAGGCAATCATACCCACTGGCACAATATGCTGCGCGTTACTGGATGAGCCATGCTATCCAGGCTGACATCAGTAAAGTCCATCATCTGATTAGAGAGTTTTGCTTAGATAAGGACTCCCCTCAAACATGCTACAGTCTCTACAAGCCAGATAGGCCGTGGGAAAGAGAAGAAGAAAGTTCTCGGAATGACATGATTAGAGTGCTGTACTATATGGCCTATGGGGGGATCCTTTCCGCAGTAGAAGACGTCTTAAAGAATGGAGCAGATGTCAACGCTCAGAGTGGCAGATATGGCAACGCTCTCCAAGCCGCTTCAAAGGAGGGCCACCAAGAGATCGTCCAGATTCTCCTCAAACACGGAGCAGATGTCAACGCTCAGGGTGGCTTCTATGGCAACGCTCTCCAAGCCGCTTCAAAGAAGGGCCACTAAGGGATCGTCCAGATGCTCCTCAACAACAGAGCAGAAGTTGACTCAAAAGATACCTCCGGCGTAACACCACTATCGTGGGCAGCTGAGTATGGCCATGAGGTCGTGGTAAAGGTGCTTCTCGACACAGGCAAGGTCGATATCGATTCAAAAGATACCTCTGGCCGAACACCACTATCATGGGCAGCTTCATTTGGTAATAAAGCTATTATCAAAATTCTCATTAATACAGGGAGGGCAGACATTAACTCTAGCGACAACACCGGCCGGACCCCACTATCCTGGGCTATTATCAAAGGGCACGTAGAGGTAGTGTTGTTACTCGCGAACGCCCATGATGCTGATATTAATATTAGAGACCACAACGGGTTCAGCCCATTTATGCGGGCTATATGGAGATCTAACAAAGAGGTTGTGGATATTCTCCTTCAGATGAGGCGTCTTTCCCATGATGATTGTATGGATGGGTTATGTTTTCAGGCGTTCTGGTTCATGTTGCCGCACGAGTTGGATCAGTTTATAGCTGATATCACCTACAATATAGGGGACGATTTCTTTGGTCTAAAGAGACTTTTCTATGACTTATATATACTATAAAATGCTTTTCTTATTCAAATTTGACAGTTGCTATGTCAAAATCTTACCTTCCTCCATGTTTGGGTACGCAATCGCAATGATTTCCTTACGAATATCCAATTCTTCTTAATACCCTCTAGAGACCCTACGTCACTAGCAGTAAAAGACTGCCTACCTCTCTTTCCATTTATCAAAACTATCTTCATTACCCAGCCAAGCAAGCTGCTCCCTCCTTTGTAGGTGCCAACTGACTGCTCCTAACTGCGTGGGGAGCATCCAAAGAAACAGTTTCCTTCCTCGGCAATCACTAACCGTCTCTCGGGGAAGGCGTCTGTTACTACTCCCGCAAATCACAAGCTCTCGTCTGATAAAACGCCGCTCGAAGAGACAAGACTCTGTTCTGTCAGCCCTATATTGGTCAAACTTGGCATCCTTCCCCAAAACGATCCCCACCACAGCACCCTCAAAACCTTCATCAATCTCCTCAACAGGACTGCTACTTAATAAGGAGCAATGTCCGAAGGCCTCTCCTTTCAGAGGAGTCGGTAACACCTTCGACTTGAGCAACTCCACCAAATGCCAGCTCCTAATTTTCTAGCAGTTTACTGGCCAGGCCGACCTCGTCCGCCTATGCAACGCTGTTTTCTGTAATAACAAACAGCCCAACTTTATGAAGGCCGCCAACCTCCAAATCTATATCTGGTTTTCTTTGCGTGGGCCCCACTCTTCCAAGTTCTAAGAAGCTCAACTTTCACCATCAAATTAACATCCGGAAGGTGCCCCTTTACGGCTGGTGTGGATGCCTCCCCCGCACCAACCCAAAGGCGTGTATTGATTAACCTCTTTCTGCACGTTATTGCTGATAACCGCTCAGTGTTATGCTATAGACGAGCCGCACCTTAATCCTAACAACGGACTGCGTGTTTGAGGACTGTCCGCGCTAGTCAAACTACTCTGTCACGCCTAACAAGCCCATGCCTAATAGCCACGCGGCGGCATTCAATAGGCCCCCTCCCACTCGGATCGGCGTCATTAACAATCACTTCCCCTATGGGGTGCTGTACCCACCTTCACCAAAAGATAGAAACCTAAACGTCATCCCTTACTATATCTATAGTGGAACCTACTTAAAGCATAACTGCGGACTGGCAATACCGCCCCCAGGCATCCTCTCAAATGACCAGCCCATGTGGCCCAAGCCTCCCATTGTCCCCAGGGGGTTTACCTGAGCTCCTCAAAATCGAGCAGCAGTCCTGGCTGGTAGCTACACCACGGACTTATTGAGTCTTGTCTGTTAGATCCAGGCTATATAAATGTAGGGCATGCATGGTGAACACAGAACCTCACAGTCATGAAGTTGGCGAGGTAGCACGTGTTGTCTCGCTTGATTTCTTCACATGCCGCTTGGCACTGCCTCGATCCATAACGCCCAAACTCGTTGGAGGTGGTGATCAAATTTGCCGAGGCACTGTTCAAGTGCACGCGCAGCATTGAAAGGCCAGTTTCACTACAAACCCCGTCGTCAATCATAGCAGGCCTATTCCTTTCCACTCGCTGAACATCCCATCCCAAGCTTCTCTCTAAGTTGAGGAGTCGCTTGTCTCTAGTCTCATACTCCGCAAGGCAAATTCGCCAAAACCATACTTCAGAGATATGAAGGCTGTGTCGTACTTGAGATCCATCTGGTGAGCCCTGGTGGGTTCGTAAGCCCATTATACTGGAGAGAGGGTTTGGAGCTTCAACTACACTTTGACCCCTCTGCGCGACAAAGTACCAGATGCTGTTGCTGTGCTCGCGCCAAGACATCAGTCAAACAAAGTCTTTATTGCAACTGGCCTGCCTGAGTGGCATACTTATGTTGTGTTTGACATCCTTTGTTCGCACCTTGCTTGCATGACAGCCATCCGCCTGCTGCTTGTGGTGGTGTTGGTTTCCTAACCGGTCACGTCTTCTTTCCTTCATAAGTTTCTTGATCATATGATTCAATCGAGCTCTGATGAGTGGTTCTCGCGCCTTCCACAATAACTAGTCATGATCGCTCACATCCGTCGCGCTGTTGCCATACCGATGGGCGTCATCAGTCGCGCCCGCATGTCCAAGAACCTCAAACCCAACTAGAATAGGACCCAGATGGCAAAAGGTCTACGTAGTACACGTAGTGGTACTAATACATCTGTGGAAGAGACGTGACACAACTGATGTGATATATGTGGAAGAACTGCGTACGGGCGCTGGGCGCTGAAGAGGGCTGTATGGCAGGCCCTGCCACTCGCTGGCAGGCCACAGGAGTGGCAGCCAAGTGGCTAGGCCCTCTCAGCACCATCAGTGTCGCTTCCGCCTTCTCCCTTAACATTATCTTGTGGCTGCTGTTAGTATAGCTCTGGATGGCCAGGTCACTTGCGCGCTCAGAAAGGCAGCCTTAGAGATAGTCCAGCAGGAAAACCACAAGAAGACAGACAGACCTGACGGCAAGTATCCAAGTACGAACAGCCAGCGCCAGCCAAATGGTCGTTCACTGGGCTCATCCCCCCGATAAAGAATGGAACATTTGGCGTGGCTGATGTTGGAGCGGTTGAGGAAGCAGACGGCGTGAAACCCACGCTTTTTGGGATGATGCGCTTGTCATGTTTCCAAGAAAAACCCTTCTTGTACAGGGCACTTGCGTTTAATATGGCTAGCCATAGGGTCATCTGGATATTGGGTGGGAGTGCATTGTAGAATTGAGGTTTGTGATGCGGCAAGAGGCCATGTGTCAGAACTAGGGATCCCCTCGCTTGTATGAAACTCACCGCTTACAGTCATTACTCAGTTAACTGCATATACAGGCCAGGATTGCCTTACAAGGGATAATTGTTGGATTGACGACTGTGTCTGGATAAAGGGATGCTAGAAATGCATTGAATAATATGCAAGAACCGGTGATGATGGGTAAATACAAGACAGAACCCCGCTCGGACCGGTATAGGAGGAAATCCCTCAATCAAGCAGAACAATCACCTTTTGATCAATGGACCTCAGTGGTATTGCATTAAATCAACATCGTTTGCCTAACAACTTTAATCCCACATTCATTATGCTGCTATTGGCCATACTGATGATCTGTCACCATGACATTGGCATTGAGGGCTGGGGAAGTTCCTGTCCTCTCATTGGTCGAATTCTGCTGCATTAGGTCTGGGCGGTGAGCTGTGCAATATTCACACGCCGCCTTATCTCATTGCAGGTGGACAACACTAGGAGGTATCCATATGGAGGCATTAATGTCCTATTATCATAAAGTCAGCGTGATGCTTTTTTGTTGTATGAGTCTGGGCTGACACGGCGCTCTCCTTTCATCTTTGGCCACTCGTCGCAAGGGCCCTTGCCCTTTCCATCCGCTGTCGCCATTGCCATCACGCAGTTGACGATTGTGATGCTGTTGGCCATGGAGTTATAGCCGTTCGCTTGCTACTTGCGACGGTCTTGTCGCTCGATTGACTGCATCTCCTTGCAATTGTGACAGACGTCGGATTATTCTCCACGTCCATCACGTCGAGACGTGTCTGTATCTATGCCGGCATCTTGAAAGGTTAGTGCGGTTCTTACGGGCCCTTCCCTTCCATATTACTAAGCCCCGCAAGTACTGTGCTAGCCTTCAACATGCTGAGACAGAGGAGAATTGTGGCATATTGGGTCCACACGTGACAGGCATGCTTCCAATCGCCTCACACGCGCGGAACTCAATAATGTTGAATTATTTACTTATTGTAGATAGGGAATAATCAGGCTATTTAGTGGTTTACCGTAGAGGGTGGTGTGGAAGCGGAAAGCATTATCTTGCTTTCTAGGGTAGTGAAGCTGAGGAGGTTTAACAGCCTATCACTTTGGGCAAGATGGGATTTAGCTGGAAGCGCCCAGGCAGCAAAGTAGATGCCTGAGGTTATAATGTTCTTTTTAGAATCACGCCCAGGAGCAAGACTAGCCTTTCAGCGTCTGACGACACATCCACCGTCTGAAATGGAGTTGATCGGCTAGATTATGTTCCATGCAGTCCGTTTATTAGGATGGTGCCTACCACTTTGGATTAGCGAAGCTATCACAAAAAGAGCCGCCTCAGCTCCATCTAAATGATTCCAGTCAGGGAGGCCGAAAAGTAGGTGCCAGAACCTAGAACTGTACCGCTGAGCCATGTGTACAAAAGAGAGGACCCCTCATTTGTATGAGGCTGTTCTGAGTACTTATGTAGTTCCGTCAGTAGGTTACTTAGCTTAGCGATCTCCCAATTCACCAGCCCCTTATCAACAGCATCACTGATAACAATCGCTTCATCCCTCTCGCTGCATCCATCATCCAGCCAAACAGCCCGCACCAGCACCAGCTAGTCTACGAAATAACCATACGACCGACCTACTTAGCCTCACCTAAAGAGGCGCAAATCCAACAGATCAGCCCGCAATAAGGAGCTGCAGCGCCAGCATGCCGTGAGATTATGGCGGCATCAACAGAAGAGAAAAAAGGTCGCATTGCCCACGCAGACAAAGATGTGACTCAGAAGACAGGGGGGTTTGAGCGATGATATATATTGTAATGGAAGTGCTAGGAGGAAAGCTAACCAGATGATACAAGGACGCAACTTCAAATGGAGGGCGACCTCTCAATTACCCTGCCCCCGCCTGTAACACTCAAAACGAACAACTACAGCTGAGATTAAGGTGTGGTAAAACTAGAATGAGAGAAGTATTCATCATCTAAGATACATAACAATGCCTTTATAAAAGTGCTGTTTATTTATTCACATCCTTGTCGTCTGCTTATCCTGCTTACCCATGATCGCCCAGTGTTGAATGATAGCCTGCTCGCTCCGCTGCAATTTACGAGTAATCCATGGCCACTCCTTTCCCTCTTGAACCCACGCGCGGAGACGTAATTCGTCTAAAGACGTCCAACGGCGACGCTGAGACCTTTTACCCTTTTCCTCGGGAATATCTGGGCCGGCACTGTGGTCTGAACCAATACTTGCGCTGTCGCTGTTGCTGTCGCTATCGTCTCCAGAGTTGTCGTCTGACCTTTCGTTATTATTGACTGTCTCTAAGCTTGGTAGCCTAACAGTTGACTTCAATATGTGTTCTGGATTCATTACGTCGCTGAGCTCGCTGTTTCCCGTGGTTGTTGCGGCGTTACGTGGAAGCCTCGTGGCATAATCTCTGACGAACCCAAGGAACAACTGAAGTATGTTTAAACCCCCTTGACTGCCAGACAGTCCAACGCCAATCCCAATGAGAGCCTGGATGGTATCAATCATCCGCAGCAAATATTCTGCAGAAAAACCACAGGTGTGACATGTGGTTGAGGATGGATTTGCTGTGGTGGCGACGGGAGAGAGAGGAGCTTGTCTGGACCTTTGGGGACTAGGCTCCCCTGAAGAGTGGTTGAGGCGAGGTGAAGCAACCTCCGGTGTAGTTGGCGATCGCCTCCGCAGTCTTCCCGCCTATGTCCCTCTTCTCAAAGCATGGTCTAACGTCCCGCACCCACTTTCCGGACACCCCCTCATTCCGGACACCCAAAAATTATGCCCCCATATATCAACGCAGTAACTTAAACCTAGGACTTCTGCTATTCTGATGCAACTACAATACAACTTTCGCTATCACTAGGGTTTTCAGACTCGCTGGATTCATTTATACTATTTACAAGTTCTCCCGCCTCGATTTGAGCCCTCCGAATAGCCTCAATATCAGCAAACTTCGAATTTGGGCTCATTTTGACCTTCTTGCGTTTCCTGGCCCTACTGGCATCAACCTCTGCTTGTAGTGCCTCAATCTTTCGCTGGGCTACTGCCAGTTGGTATGCCTTCTCATCAAAGCCCTTCTGAACCTTCCGGAAAAGCAGGCGTTGCGTATGCTCATCGTTATCCAGCTTGCTGAACAGGCTGAACTGATCCTGAAGCTCATCCCTCTTCTTGGGGGTTGACCAAGGGACTGCTGATGTATCTGCCGCCCATTTTTCGCTTGCTTTGCCATCAGAGAGCCCTTTGCAGACCTGACCAGCTGGTTTGGCAGGGGTTGAAGTGTTCTCAAGCAGCAGAGGGCTCATGAGGGGTCTAGCCATACTGATAGGCCACAAACCAGTCCATTTCCAGCCACTGATGATATTCTTGCTTGTCAGGGCTGCCTTACGCGCCTTGCCATAGCATACAACGAAATTTCTCTTGCCCACAACTGTACCAGCATCCCATTCAGCAAGTAATCCAAGCTCCTTCTTGTATGCTGCCTTGAGGGGCCCAAAAACCGACTGATCAAGTGGCTGAAGGACGTGTGACGTGTGTGCTGGCAAGAACAGCAAGTGTATCTTGTTTCTGAAGCATGTATACATGAAAGCAGTAGTCTCATGGCTTCCATGACCATCCAAGATCAACAATCTGACCTCTGAGGGGTCTGCTGGCTGGGTAGAAGGTATAAAGACCTCTGTCAACCACTTAACAGCTGTAGAGTCTGAAGTCCACCCGTTTCCTGTTGCTGTGAACTTCCAGGATTCGTATGGCGTCAGATCTAGAGGAAACCACTGCTGCTGGACACTCTTGCCCTTATATATAACAAGTGGAGGCAGTGCCTTGCCAGTTGCAGAGATACACTCAATCAGAGATGTCCAAGCACGCGATCCAGGCTGTTTCTTGCGGATAGAACGAGTTTCTGATGATCCAAGAACAAGCCCATTTGATCCTCTGCCTTCCAGAATACCAGACTCATCCATATTGTATCGATTGGAGGCTTTAATGGCTATGATCTCAGGGATGGCGAGGTGCTTGAACCATTGCCTGATGACATTAGTTGAGGCTCCGTTGATGCGCTGGGAATCAATTGCTCTGCTTCTCTGGACCCTTACAGATGGGTTTCTCTTGATAAAAGCCTGAACCCAGTTCTTCCCTAGAGGCTTGGCGTCTCCATGGATCTGTAGGATACGCTCAGCGAATTCCTTGAGTTGTTGATGGGTTGGTGGTAGGCCTAGGGCAGCCTGGATTCGAATCCATTCAGCCAAATGGCTTTCTTGGGTTGGAGAGAGCCTCTGTAGATCTGAGAAGGCAATATCTCTTGATTGGGTGCCTTGGATACGATCATAAAGAGTAGACTTTGGGACCCCATACTGCAATGCAGCTTTTCGCACGCTAAGCCCATTAGAGATCGCATTAAGAGCCTGATTAATCTCATACTCTGTATATTGACTCATATGGTCTAGAAGAAGATGTTAGATAAAGATGGAAATAAGTGAGATTAAGGTGGTGAAGCTATTCAGGATCAAAGTTGTAAGAGAAAGATTTTATTGAGGCATTTTTAGGTGTCCGGAATGAGGGGGTGTCCGGAAAGTGGGTGCGGGACGTTACGTCCAAAGCAGGTTGTCTTTTCAGGTGCGGGTGGTCATTATCACAGCTCGTAGAGATAGCCACGTGGGACTGTGTCTGTGATCTAGAGGAGCTCCGGAGCTGTCTGTCGCTTTGGGTTGTGAGGCCTCTCTTGTTCGTCTTGTCTCTCAAGACTCGAGATGGTAGTGCGCGCAAAGCCTTCGCTGGAAGAGCCTGCGATACTGTCCCCGTGTCGGCATCTTGTGACCTGCGTCGTTTAGGCAAGCGGCGATTATGGCTCTCGCAGCTGTCTTCAATTGCCCCATAACCTCGTTTCCTCCGGCTGGTGATGGTATCACCACCTTGCTGTGAGATGGCGGTGTGATCCGAGGATGGAGTAGGAAGCGCGAAAACGTCTGTTTGAGGCTTTTCCACCATATCCATGGAAGTGGCAGCAGCGTTGACGGAGAGACTGGTAACAGGGCTTGGTGTGCATGACGGACCCGCCATGGAGTCGGGCGCCACGGAGGTGCTTCTGGTGAGGATATGTGATGTAGTGATCCCCGATGAATCTGGACTCGTAAGGTTGAGTTCTGAAACCGCTAACTGCTGAGGACAGCTCTCACTCTCGGTGTTGTTATCGTAAGAGCTGGCGTGACCATCTTTGGCTGAGCTGTTATTATCACAACTTTCCCTGGTGTCGCTGGTCTTGCTCCTCTCTTTTGATCCAGCAATATCTGTGCATGTTTGTTTCAGTCTTAATATCTCTAGTTTGCGGTTTTGGTCACTCACATGCGTTCATGTCGCTAAGACAACTTGTCAGTTGCTCGGTTGAACGTCTGACCAGGTCAAGAGCCAGGGGCTGTTCGCTTCGTGAAGAGGCAATTGCCACTTCTTGCGAATTCGGTTCTGTCGGAGGCTGGGCTAGTTCAGGGGTGCAAGTTGACCAGGATACCGGAGACTTGATCTCATCTGGCAAGCTGGGTTTCATACTTTCCGCTGTAACACGACCAATCTTGGAGATCGGAGCAAAAGGCTCGGTCGTGTGTGCAATGTCACCCAGAGCATCGTTGTTATATAACTCAGCTGTGTTGCAGGCCTCAATAAAGTCGAATCCGAAGTCGTCAATACCAGCAAAAGAGTTAGCAAGACCACCTGCTTATTATAAGTTAATGCTTATTAGGAAGTGATGTAGGTATACCTGATGTGAAGCCTGAAGCCTGAGTCTCTGTGAAAGTGAGAGCGCCAACATCTTGCTCGAGTGGTGTTGCGAACTCTGTTGACAAGGTCGTTGATGTTTGCTGTTGTTTTTGCTGCTCCTCAAGCTGGCGTTGACGTTTCTGTCGTTTGCGCTCCTTTTCTTGGTAAAGTTTCGCAAAGGATTGCACGTCATGCATTTTTCTGAAGTTGGGGTGAGCCATCCTCGATGGAAGAGAAATAATGAGGTTGAGAGTGAGCAGTATGGAATCAGTCAGCTCCCGTAATAGGGGTGGAAGAAAGGCTTTATATAGGTTTTCTTTCAAGTCAAAGGCCCCATCTCTGGATACAATAGTCGGAGAAAACGGCCCGTTACCAAACCAGAACGGGGCTTGCAGCTCCTACATCCGCGGTGAAAGCCAAACGCAACATCGCTAGGCCCCTCGCTTCATGGCAACGCTGCTGCCCTGCCGTACCGTTTTCTCTGTGCCTCAGAGGTGCCCCTGACGCGCTGGCGGCGTTTTCCCCCTCTTCCGAAATAAGCCAACGATTGATCATGGGCGCAGCAGCTTGCAGCCCTGACCCCTTGGCCACGTCCAACAAGCCATGTCACCATCTTCAGAGCAAACCAGGTCCGATCCAAGCGGCATGATTCATAGTTGGCGGAGCAAGACAGGCACCCATCCATCGATGCAAATGCTCGGACTTGTGGTTGCACCGAGTAAGGCCAGTCTGGCTGAACCCAACTCTCTATCGAGCTCGGCCAGCCTGTCAGCTGGCGTAACGATCGCCCCCTTGACATGGGGGAGAGAGGTCATCTGCAGCTTCTCCTGGGATGTGTGCCGTGATTCTCCAGGGCCAAGAGCACGATCCGTTAGGAATGCTACTTCGGAAGCCGTACGACAGTCTCAAGCTGTTGGGATGAGGCAGCCTTCGTAGCGGAGCTATCGGTCGTCTTGGGAATGTTATGCCGGCACTTTGAGCTGTGCTCGAGCTTCCTGGCAACCTCCGTCTCGTATATGCAAGGTGATCCATCCTGGCACCCCTTTGTCGGAGGCAAAACAGGCAGACTCAAACGGCATGATCGAGACGAGAATTGCCTCTTCAGGCAATTTTGTGGCCTAGGAAGCCACCGAGAAGCAGGCTGTCTCAAGGATACATAGCCTGACTGGCGTGCTTCAAATGAGGCCGTCATCGTTGGTGGCACTTCGCCAGGGGTAGGTGAGCAGGACACCCGGGCTACAGTCGAGAAGTGAAGTACCCAACAAGGGAATTCTGTTGGCACATGCCACCCTGGCCCCTGACCAATGCGTCTCTGAAGCCTAGAGGGGCCTCAGCGAGGCGGAGTTTGTCCTTTCTCGACCAGCAGCCTAGCCGGATGCCAATCTCTGCGACATGTGGTGTTTCTCACCCTCTTAGCCAAATCTCAACCGCTAATGAGGTTGAAGGCTTGGAAATTACCAAATACGGCAATTCCTCAATCTAGCCCTACCCCCCTTCGCCCGAGGATAGACTATCAGGGACATCACCACAGGCGCTCGTCGTGATGCCTGATACAGCACCTCGAACCACCGCTGCGTGGTTGCATGATCCCATGGCGCATCCCACGACCCCCGCTGAGTTGTCAAGTTACCACAAGAGGGAATTTTGGGCTTGAGGGCAGGCCAGGCACCCACGACTTCACTCCTTGGCGGCTGTAACGGTGCAGTTGCGAGAACTGAGTTGGCACGTCGGACCAGCGTTGGCCTGTTGTATGGTCCCATACCTCATCCAATGATCCCCCCCGAGTCCTCAAGTTACCAGAAGAGGCAATTTTGGGTCGGATGGTAAGGCGAGGTAGACGTGGATGGTAACGGTAACATTCGAGAATGGGCGACGGGCCCGCTAGGCGTTCCCTCGGGTACTTGGAGATTGTCGACATTGTCAATGAACGGAATCGACAAGCGCAAAGCAGCAGACGAGCGTAGACCAGATTACCATAAACGGCAATACACTGAGGAAATTAGCCACACTGTTCCAGCAGGATCACATCGGAGCCTATTGTGCAAGGTACGCTACACCTGGCTTCGGCGTAACGGGTGGAGGTAGCGGAAAAGAGATACCTTGACCATCCAAGCACCGGCGTCAACTGGTGTTGGGAGAGACTGTGGTTTATCGCGTGGTTTATAATCGCAAGTGAGAGTTGAATGGATGTTGACGAAGGGCGAACGTTGTAGTAGATTGTGGATGTGGCTGAGGCGGTCGGAAGGAACATGAAGGTGGCGCAGGGCCAAGCTGCGAGAGAAAAAAATACAAAGGGAACTTCGAGATACATCGGCGCGTTGGGCGGGGCAGGCGCTCATTTAAGGGACGGCAAAAACGGCGAGTGATGGCGTGGCCGAGAATTACCCGATGTGGCAGGTGCCGAAAATGGCAGGTCAGGACCGCCGTTTCCGAAGGCAGGCAAGCCGTCTCATGTTTTACTAAAATAAGAAAATAGAAATAAAATTAAAATTAATAATAATTAGAACATAATGATAATAATAAAAAAGGCTAAAAATATTATACTTTTATTATTAAAATTAAAATCTAATTTAATTAATATTAATATTATTATTATTATTAATATATATAGTAGTATAAAGGCATTAAATTATTATTCTTAGTATTTCAATTTTTGTATAGAGTTATTATTATTAGTATTATTACTATTAATATTTTATAATATTCATTGCTAACTTTTTTATTATTAAACCTTCTAAATATTTATTAACTAAGTATTATACTTCTAATTTATTTATCTTTACTAGTAATATTAGATTTATTTTAAAAAGCTTTAGATTAAATAGCTAGCTTTATTAAATAGTTTATATCTATTTAAAATAAATAATATAATGTTAATAAAAGGTTCAAAAGAAGGCTATGTAAATTATAATTAATAAATAATAGCTTATACATGGTTTATAAATTACTAGATGTTGAGTTTACTAAATAGAGCTTTACTTAGGATTTTATTAACAATATTAAGAATTTAATTAAATATTTTATAAATAATAGTATTTATTATAGAGAGTAGTTTAATACTTTTTTTGATATAGTATCTTACTCTAATTTCTATTTATACTATCAAGAATTGAAACAAGATATTAATATAATAATATGTATTAAATTATTCAGAGGGATAATAGTAGTATTAGTTAAAAACTTTATAATATTAGTTTTAAATACATTAAAGTTATTTTAATATATTACTATTTTAGGATTAGATTGATTTATGAAGTAAAAGATCCATAATATATTGATTGAAATTAATTGATATAGTAAACATATATAGGGCTATTTATTATTAAATATAGCTAATTTAATAAATATTTTAGAATTTTCAAGTTTTATTTTATTGTTATTAATATTAATATTATAGATACTATTTATATAGTAATAAATCAAATACAATAAAGTTCAGCTAAATAATAGAATAATTAAATTAAAATCTTAAGTAATATACTATGAATAGAGATATATTAATTAGAAGAGAACAGAAAAGAAAAGTAATATAGTAAAAATAGTATAAAGTTTAATTATGTATATAATTTGTTATATAATACATTTAACTATAAAATATCTATTTATAGCTATAGATTTAATATTACTATTATTCATCTAAAAATAAGAAAAATATTATAATTTTAGATTTATAAATAATATAACTTATTTTAATATTTTCTAGTTAATTATAATTAAGATTCCTAACTATAGTTAAAATCTCTAATTATAACCTATAGTAATATATTATTATTATAAATTATTACTATAAATATCAGTACTATATTACTATTATAAATTATTACTATAAATATCAGTACTATATTACTATTATAAATTATTACTATAAATATCAGTACTATATTACTATTATAAATTATTACTATAAATATCAGTAATATATTTTAGCTACTATGTAAATAAACTTAATATATATATAGGTACTAATAAAAAAATAAATAATAATATATTTTGTATATTTTAATATATTTATAACTAAACCTTTTATAATTTTATCAGCTATAATTATAAATCTAATAATTTTATATTTATAATAATATAATTAAGATTTATTATAATTGTATAATAAAAGCTTAAATTACTTTTTAATGTTAATATTTATAGCTTAGTTATCTTTTTTTATAATTTAATATTATTCAATGTATACTCTATTTTATTAAAATTAAGAAATAAAGAATAGAAATAGCTTTTACTTTAAAATAAATAATATTTAATCTCTATAGTATATTATACAAATATTCTATAAGATTCTAAATATTATTCTTATTATTATTCTATTTTAAATACATTTTTTTAATATATTACTTTTAATTACTAAAATACTTTTTAATAAAATAAAACTTGAGTAAATATAAAAATGGAAATTTAAAATTAATATTTAATATTTAACATAAATCTTTAACATAAAATATGTAATAATAAAAAAGCTTATTTATAATAATATCAAAGTTTAATTTTAGAAAACGCCTATATTTTAAGATAAAACATTTTTATAACTAATAAAAAAGGCTATGCCTATTAATTATACTATAATATATAGTTAAATATAAAATGCTATTTAATATAAAAGCTAATAAGATTTATATACAAAAATTTTAAAACTAATTAATCTCTATAGTTTAAAACATAATAAGCTTGTTTAGTATTTATTTAACTTTTTATATCTTAATATTCTTATTAATATTAGATTTATTAATGAATATTAATTAGTTAAAATAATATTATTATATATATTAGAAATATTATATTATAATTTATTATCCTATTAAATAGTAATAATTATAGACCTTTTATTTATTTAGCTAAATAAATTTAATTACTAATTAATTATGAAATAATTAAAATAGATTTTAAAAGCTTTAAATAAAACAATTTATATTGCTTTTAAAAAATAGATTTTGTGTTTCTATTTTTTATTAATCTTAGTAATACTTCTTATATTTCTATATTTTATTAATGATATTATATTACAATCTATATTATAAAATGATTTATTTAACATAACTAATAATCTTTATTAATGTACAAGGTTTTTTTAGCTTTTAAATAGTAATATTATTATAAATATTAATAGCTGTGGATTTAATATTTTAAGCGTTATTATATTACTATTATTATTTAATATTCTTTTTAGTATATTTAATATAATACTCAATTAATATATATTAATTAATAATGAAAAATAAAAAATGAAATATAATCTATATAGTAATAGATTTTTAGTTATAAATAAACTAAACTATTTAAAAAGTTATTACTTTTATTAACTATTAAAGCTATTTATTTTAAAGAAAATATTTTAAACTTCTTAATATATTTTTATATTATTTAAAACTATATAAACTATATATTAAATAGATGTATAAAGTTATATAATAAATCTTATTCTCTATTTCTTAGTAAATATTATTTTAATTTCTTATAAAAATAAAATATGCTTTTTATTAATTAATTAATATAAAGATGAAATAACTAACTAAGTTAGTAATATCTCTATAAATAAATTAACTACTATAGTGATATTAAATATATATCTTATAACGTACATGCATAGCTAGTCGCGCATCATAGCGAGTTGCGCACTTTTCACCACCTCTCTACTATTTTTATGTATCAATCAAGCTACATCGTACAAAATCAATCAAAACTACTCATCATCCTCTTCTTCAGAGGTCTCCCTAACTACCTGATATGTTCGTACGTTATGTCCAGTCTTTTCACAATTGCCACATCGCCGCCCGCGCGATTCACCCCCCTCTGTACGAGCACCCTCCTGACGTATATTTTCGCCTCTAGCATTAACAACCCCCTTCTCTACCCGGATCGCCTCAGCTTCAACTGCGTTAAGTGACCCTTTAAGATGCAGTTGGGACTTTTTAGCCCTCTAGCGCTTGCTTAGTATCTCATTTGCCATATGAAGCCTGCGGCACTCAGCTTCAACAAGAGCTAGTTTGTGCGCTAACTTGCTAATACCTTTAGCTTGCAAGTTAATAACTTCGTATAAATATGTTAGTGAGCTATATTGATAACTAGTAATCCTTTTCTTAAGTAAAGCAGAGCTTTATACAGCGTTATATGCTGTGGTTGGTGTCTTTAGGTCTTATGAGCCCTAGCTGCTTAGGCGTGAGTTGGATGGTGTTGGCGTCTTTGGCTTGAAATCCAGGCGGGAAATAACTACTTCTGGGTCAAAAGATATAAGGCCAGCCTGTCTAAAACCAGCTTATATATTTCCTTCACCTATTGAAGAAAAAAAGGCTGCCTTAAAGGCAGGAAAGAAATCATCCTTAGTAATATGCGTAATCTGCATCTATATTATCTTCTCGATTTCCTTGCTGTATAAAGCCTTCAGCAGACCAAAACATCTAACATCAAGAGGCTGAAGCTTATGCGATGAATAGGGAGGCATGCAAAGAGCAATAATGCTGTGTTTATTGCAGTAATCATCAAACTTAGTGGATTTATAGCTGTCATAGCTATTAAGGATTAGGAGCTGCTTAACACCCTTTATATGAGACTTTATATACTTTTCAAAATGCATTAGCTAATCTAGGCTAATCTTATTTATAGTCTATCTATTTTCGCTAGGGTGGACGCGCTATTCAGGTGGGAATTAGCTATTAGTGTACTATAAGAGCAGGTGATATTTGTAAGGGGCTGGCCCCTAGGCTTGTTCAACGTAGAGGTGCCGTCGATTGACTATTCTAAGCTGAAGAAGGAAGAAGGGACTTTACAGGGATAGGCGCCTAGCGGCGGTGAAGCACACCGGGGCTAGGCGGTGTGCTACGGCAGAATAGTGGACCCGGCGGAGCCGGGTCTCGGTAGCTGCTCCGGCAAAGCCGGAGATCTCGGCCGGGCTCTAGCCCGTGACAATAATCAGCCATATCTTGCACGTCTTCAAGCTGCAGCGGAAATCCTCGATCGACTAGGTCGATAATTCGTTCAAGAATCACACTTTCTTCTGTCGCAGTCATCTTCATTAAGTTTGTACGCGTTTCGTGTCGTGGTAGTCGTCCGGCGCGTCGGTCGCAGAGTGTTGCTTTGGGGATATTATAGATAGAGGCTGCTTTTCGTACGGATAGTTTTAGCTCTTTTTTGATAGCTTCAATTGTAAGGATAATGCGACTTTCATTTAAAGAAGAACCCATGGTTGTACGTGGAGAAAAGTTGTTGTAAAGGTGAAGGGTGTAGAATTGAGGAAAAGTGCGCGACTCGCTATGCATGTACGTTATCTCTATTATACATTTATATATTTAAATACTATTATAACTATAGTAATGAATAGTAATTAAAATACTAGTAATAAATTTAGTGCGTTTTACGTATAATATAGAAAAATACACATTACAGCGGAAAATAGGCTTTTGTTTTATGTTTTTGCACAAGCGGGGAAAAAAGGGGGGGGGGGGCGGACGCTGTTAGTGCAACGGACTGTAGCAACTGCACAGCCTATGAGATTCTTTCATGCGGCAGGGATTCAGTTTTCAGGTCCGATTGCTGCCTGGCTGTCAAAACGCGCAGCTTCACTGCACCCACGGCTCGCTGTCTCTTTTCTTGGCATCCCTTTCCACAAGATATGCCCAAACAGATACATTTCAGCCTTCCAATTCTAAGTCTTCAGCGAGGCCAAGTTACTCCAACTCCAACCATCGAGCATGTGGCTCATCAACACACGTACGCTCAAACTTGAGGAGTTCTTTGACGCGGCTGTTCCCGACTACGCCATTCTATCGCATACTTGGGGACACGACGAGGTCTCCTTCCAAGAGTTTAAGAGCCTCGACATCACAAGCGGAGACCCGGAAGATCTTATAATTAAAGACAGAGCTGGGTACCCAAAGATCATAAAGGCATGCGGGAAAGCCCTGGAGTACCGTCTTCGATATGTTTGGGTCGATACCTGCTGTATCGACAAAACAAGTAGTGCGGAACTGTCGGAGTCAATCAACTCCATGTTCAAATGGTACGAAAATGCACAAATCTGCTTCGCATACCTATCCGATGTACCGGCAACCCAAGACGCGACGGACCCGGCGTTCGTGAACTCTCGCTGGTTCACAAGGGGATGGACTCTACAAGAGTTACTCGCACCTCGAGAGCTGCTTTTCTTTGCGTCAGACTGGACGCTGATCGCGAGCCGCGAGGACACGGCGGCCTCAGTGAGCAATATTACAGGCATCGACCAGACGTACCTGGAATCTTCGATATCAGAGCAAAACACCCGCCTGAGGTTGTTGACAGAGGCCAGCATTGCAGAGAGGATGAGCTGGGCAGCTCGGCGGACAACTACCCGCGTTGAAGATATTGCATACTGCCTGCTGGGTATCTTCGGGGTGAATATGCCTCTCATGTACGGAGAGGGTCGGAAAGCCTTCTTCAGGCTTCAAGAGCAGATCCTGCAGACGTGCTTCGACTCGACACTCCTCGCTTGGAACCCGACAGATGAGCACGGACGGCCCCTGGCCTTTGATGAACTTGAACCGAGTTCTTCTTGGGCCTCCGCAGTGAAGATGGTTATGGGGATGGGGCATCCTTGGTCTGCTCCCGAGCAACCCCACTCCAACGCATTGCCCATGGGTCTTTTGGCTCCGAGCCCCGGGTGTTTCCTGCTTTGCAACGACATCGTCGAATGCGAAACAGTGCTCGACTGGACCCCAACCAGCCGTGGCCTTGAGATCGAACTGCCCGTGTCCGACAACACCTGGCCGTATGCCATCATTCCCTGTCGACTGCGTAACGACCCCTGGAGTCTCCTTGCGCTTCCTCTCGACGTTCACGATGGCGGAGCATACTCCAGAAGTCCACTATCAGCCATGAGAATCAGCCATCATACCTGGCATCAATGGTCAATGAGAAGGATTCTCTTGAAGACAAGAATACGTCCTAACTATGACACTGAACCCGTACCCTCGTGGTACATCTGGATCAAAAGCTTGCCTCCAGAAATGGAAATCCTCGAAAGATACTCAGATTCAAAGCTTTATGCAGCGGATACACTGTTGCCCGTGTTTTCCGAACGCGAAACACAGACTATCTCTAGGTCGCGGTATGGAATCACCGGGATGAAGCTCGAATCAAAGGCTTCAAACGAGAGGTTTTCTCTCATCATCAAAGTTACCAAAACGTCAGCCTATACAGATCTCGGCTCCTGGATCTGGCCCCGAAGGTGGCCCTGGAGGTCGAATAGTGACCTGTATCATTTGGAGTGTTGCATTGCCAAACATATCTCGCCTGATAACCTGATATCTTCGTGGAAACGCACGGGCTCACTCAGGTTCACAAGGTGGTCTCTAGAGTTGAAAGATTCTTGCCTTCAATTCAAGGTCATGAAGAGAAAGCTGCTTGATATTCCCGTCTTCGAAATGAACATCACACAATCCCCGAAAGGGTACATATCGCAACTACAATACTGCATAGGAAGATGTCTGTGGCTACTCCAGCTCATCACAAATCACATGTTGGCGATTTCGATGACCTTGGTGAGCCTCGTCTTCCCAGTATCGGTTATTAATGCTGTTCTTTGGTGCAAGCATCTGGTTCCCTGGCACCTATCGCTTTTGCCAATCACCCTCCACATGACAATCTTGGCAGGGATTGCAGGGGCGCTTGGAGAAACGCTGGGCGTTGTTATGTCACAGTGCATATGCAATAGCCAATGCCAACTAGGAGGTTTCTTAAACAGCCTTCGCTTTCTGGCTTCCTTTTTGGTGCATCTATTTGCCTGGGATGCATTGATGGCAGTCTACGCTTTCCACTTGCTACCTGTCGTCTCGTGCTTCGCACCGAGATGGTCAGGATTTATCAGGAAGGGCAGGAGCGTGCTCGCCATCCTCATAGGTCTCTTCATGGGCCCCCTCATTCTCTGGTCCCCCTTAAACCCGCGCAGGGACTTCCCGCAAACCCTGGCACTGCTTCCCTTGTATATCCAGACTGCCTTGAGCATATCGGATGACATGCTTTATCGGAGGAAGCTATTTCATCTTTACCCACTAGCTGTCGCGTGTTGCGGACTCTACATGGTCTTCGTTGACAGCATGAACTTCGCGATCGAGACGAACTGTAAGCCTCTGCTAGTTGACATGGGCATCTTTCTCGAAGCAACAGGCGCGGAAGGTTCGTTGAACAAGACACAAGAGAAATATGTTGGTCACTTGGCGGCATTTTTGGCCATATTTTTCCGAGTATACTTTCATGTGTGGCGACACTTGCTTGCGGAGAGTGTACTTGTTGTTGTCGACGCTTCTTCGCTTGTGTCAGCGGATAGGCTTTAGCCCATCATTAAGCCGTAATTGTTCTTAGTAAGGGTTGGCTACGCCTTTGTTTAAGCTGCAGAAAACATTGAAGTGGAGTTCTGTCTTCAGCTATCCATCATACACAGCATCCAGCTACGTCGAAGCTCAACTTCAACAGTCAGGCAAGACGCCAATCTTGACGAACCACCTGTTGAGTCGCTCATTTACTTCTTCGCTCTTCAGTTGGAAAAACCAGTGTCCCGAATCCTCCACGAGACCAACTTCGTCGAGTTCTGTGCTCGGGGACAGGTGACTACGTTCCGTGCTAACCCAGAACTCGCTGTTCCCCAGCGTCAGGCGTGGGCATTGAATCTTCTCATCATGCTGTGCGACGGAAACTTCCCGTCGACCAATTCCTTGGGGGTCTCCTAAGCATGCCGAGCACTGTGCTAGGATAGCTCCCATATCCCCCTGCGCGGCACGCCTGCCAATCCAGGTGTTATGCCAGGCAGGCACTGTTGAAGGGTACAGATCCGGGCCGAAGAGCATGGCCAAGTTTTGGAGTACCTTTGTAGGATCGGTGAGGTATTCATCCGCAGTGGCAGCGGGGACGGAATGGAGCGGGTCGAGGATGACCATGGCGCGGGTGAGATCGGGACGCACCGACGCGAGATGGTAAGCGATGGCAGTACCAAGAGAATGAGCAATCAAGATGACTGACTTGATGTTGAGATCCTGAAGAAGTGCAATGAAATCTTGTGCAGCGGTTTGTGGGTAGTAGTCGATGATTGATGGGTCCGCATCCGAACCGGGATAGGCATTGATGTCCGGAGTCGGCGCCGGAGCGGAAGAGCGGCCCTGGCCTCGAGGATCTGGAGTGATGACACGGAATCCGTGTTCCAGAAGAAATGGAACTTGCCAATTCCAATCGTGTAGGTCACATGTAATTCCTGGAATGAGGAGAACTGCTTGAGCCTCTTGAGGACCCTCATCCAAGTAGAAGATGAGAATGTTGTCGTTACGCTTGAAGAATGGCATGGTAGATGCAAAGAAAAAATGCTGGGTCTGACCTTATGAGCAATCGAGAATGAAATCATGGATCAAACATTTTATACTGATTTCAAACCACATACGAGTTGTTTACCTTGATTCAAGAGTGTTTGCCCTGAAATTGCAAAGTTATCACGAGGTTCGCCGGTTCCGATTGCTCCCGCGTGAAACCCGGGGAGAGGTCACGCACGTTTGCTTCGGGTAGTTGGTGACACCGATGCTGACGGCCAAGATCTATCCGCAGCGGAGACGAATCGCGCTGACAATCCGAAGGGCGCCAAATGGATTCTAAATCCTGTAGATGTCTTGTACTAGTAATATCATGAAGAATGAGTCCAAATGCAAAAATCATAGAGCATCCGATGAGAATGCCACGCGTGGCTGTGCCAGCGCTGGGGGCCACGCTGTGAGCATTGGCATGTTTTGGAAGACGGGCAAACACCAACCAGCCCATATATTTAAAAATTCTACTGCTGTAATCAAATCTTGTAGCCAGGCAACGACTGAACGATCCAAACCCATGCTATTGACCCTGGGGAACCGTCCCTTTTGGATAAGTGCTGACCGGATGTTTTCGCTTAGGGGCCGGCTGAGCAGAAGCGCAGGGGTTAATCTTCTATTCCCAGCAGCTGTACAGGCGTTTTTCTGCGCGGGGGACCTATTGCTGCAGCCTGGAATGGGTCTAAGCCGCCTCTTCAATGCACCATCCCGCATTGCAGGAGACCGGAGTTCCTCCATGTCTCTGGTCTAATTATCTCAACTCCTCCTATGATTGATCTGAAAATCGGATTTCTTTAAAACAATCCTTCTCTGGCTTTCAATTCTGGGTCGTCATATAGAAGTTAATTTTTAAGGTTATTTCCCCGGTGGCGGTATCATGGCGTCTTACGAACATACAACGCATGCGGAGCCTGCTTATGTTGAGAACGCCTACATCGAAAACGGCCTTCATCCTGTGCATCACTCCGACAAGATTGTCGGCGGGCCAATAGAGCACCAGTACGATGGCCAGTATTATGGAGGATACACACAAATCAGCGCGGCCACGACACTCAAGGCAGAGAAGAGGATATGCGGTGCCCGGAAACCAGTCTTCGTGCTGTGGTGCATCATCGGCTTTATGGCGGCCATGCTGGGGATGGTTGCTGGCGTGTTTGGGGCTATGATAGCGAACCAGGATGCAAAAATACAGAACCTTCAACAAACAAATGGGGGTACAAGGTGAGTTATTAACGACAACACCACAACTTGCTTGGCGTCACCCAGCTAAGGCTTCATTAGAACTGCCTCAGCATCCGCGGCCGCCACGACCTGGGTCGAGATCTCCGATTGGGAGTACGTTGGCTGCTATCGTGATAACGATCAAAGAACCATGCGCGACGCGTACCAGAATTACACCACCAGTCAGACGAATCGGCAGTGCAAGGCGTTTTGCGAAAAGAATTACGACTACTTTGGTACTGAGACCGGGGGCGAGTGCTACTGCTCCAGCACAGCGCCAAGCGAAGACGCGCTTTCACCGGCGTGGAATTGCAATGCACCCTGTAGAGGGAGCAGTGATGGAGAGATTTGCGGGGGAGGTTGGTTTCTGAGCGTGTGGAAGAAGACGAAGAAGACTTGAATCTTGAGTGGCATATTAGGTCTAAGACTTTCCGATCAGCGGGCGTTTTGGTCATGGGCTGTCCGGGACGGGATTCATGACTGGGTGTTCGGTGTGCTATGCCTCTTCCTACATACCCAATATTACTTACTGTTTGGCTGCATTGCTTAAATGGCTGTTACAATAGGTCAACAGGCCCCTTTAATTGGCGCAGTCCACTGCACCAACGTGAGTCGTCACGGCCATTGAAGGAAGCCCTTCAAACCCGCTGAGTCTGGTTAGCTTCCGTGCCTGTTGCCGGCGCCTTCCGGGACGGCACGCGCATTCCGTCCGCCAACGTCCGGGGCCCCGACGTAGCTTCCGCGTATTACATGAGCGCCCCGGATGTGCTTGTAACATGTATGACCAAGGCCTGAGATGCGTCACTCTCTACGGCAACTTCCCGAATTGATCGAGATAGGATATTTGCATGTTCAATGGATGCTCAAATGATGGCGCGATACGAGAAAAGGTACAGCCGCCCGGCATGATGCCTCCAAATGGAAAATGCAACCCGAAAACTGTGTACCTTCCTAATGCATGCTTGCCAAGAATTGACGGTCAAGAAGATCTCCGCAACCTTAAAAACAAAGCACGCGACCTTGCGGCATTCTGGAATCTCATGATCAACACCTAGATCCGTCTACTATTGTGTCGACGTGATCAATATGCGCGTTCTTCACTTGGGCAGCTTGCTGTCCGTCGTGTCCGGCGCCCTTGCCGCGACCTTTACCTCATGCTCTAGCACTCAAATAGCCACCCTCGAAGCGGCGATTGAGCGAGCCACGAACAAGTCGTATGCAGCTATTGACCATCTGGAAGCCAACCCCAATGGCAGCGACATCCAGACAACATGGTACGGCACGTTTAGCACCGAGCGTTACAACCGTGTCTTA